GAAAGAACTCTAGGGTGGCGAGCACGCAGCGCGAACGACACCAACGGATAATAGAACCCCACAGGGGTGAATTCTCCATTAACGGCACTGAGCCGAGGATGAACATGCCGTCACGGGCCCTGGACAGTGCGACATTAAGGCGTTTGGGGTCATCGAAAAAGGTGAGGTTAGTACCTAGCACCTTTGTGCGCGTAGTGCATAGTATGACGATGGACTTTTCTGAACCCTGTGCGCTGTCAACAGTCTTGATAGTGACATGTGTGTTGGATAGGATAGATTCGCACAGGTAGAGCTGGTCGCGGTAGAGGCAAATAACCATGATATCGCCGGGTGGTATGCCGGCTGCCAAAAGGAGGCGGACTAATACGGCAGCGGCTCGTGCCTCGATCTCGTTACTCTGAGAGCCGGTGATGGATTTTACGGCTTTGCCTAGGACGTCAACGAATGCGATTGGAATTTCTTTGTTGGGCATACGCAGTGAACGAAGTAGCGCTTGGCGTTCGTCAACGGGTGTTCCGCATACGAGCTCGTTGTTATAGAAAATATAAGAGTTCAGCTCCATCATCCTGGCATGCGGGCGATATACAGTGCTGATTTTGCACGTCGGCGCGTTCCCTACGCGTTTCGCGACTTCGAGCACTGATTGGGAACAGAGAGCAGCTGCGCGGGGGGCCTTTTGAGTGCCTACGAAAGGAGGCAGCTGTTTAGTATCGCCAATGAGTGTATAGGTTGCGTCAGGGAATCGCGAAAAGAGCCCGATAAGGGTGGTTTCTGGGATCATGGATGCTTCATCGAGGAGTACGGTGTCCCATTTCCTAGATGAGCGGCGCCATAACCCTTCCTTGGTGGTAAGGTTAATGGCCGAGGCGATAGTGCATATATAAAGATGTTGGGTTGATAGATTTTAAGGAACTTGGAGGTGAGGGCCTTAACGCGCTCGGAGTTGGCCTCTTCGAGGAACAAGAGGGTTTTATGTTCAGACGCCATGAGATTTTGTTCCACGCCCGTGAAGAGAAACTCTCGAAGGCGACGGCGCTTGTCCGCAAAGGCGCGAAACATTGCAGCTGTGGATGGACCCATACGATCGCTATGCGTTACGGGTAGCCGTTCCATAATCGCAGCAATGTCGTAAGGGCCGGTACGAAGGGTATCGCGTGCTAGCATTTCGTTTACATACCGGACCGGGTGCATGTCGGGTGTGTCCATCTGCGCTAATTTTGAGCAGATAACGTCCAATGCGGTGTTCTGTACTGCTGCGATAAGTACCGTTTTACCCTTTTTGACCGCCTCTACTGCCATTAGTGTGGTGCACAGTGATTTGCCTGCTCCATATGCACTGTCAATAATCAGGAGGGGCAAATCCTTGTGGAACCAATTTATTGCGTTAACCTGATGACTATTTAAGACAACGCGTTCACCTCCGACAACGGCTGTAATGCTCTTTCGCGTTTTCGCGGGTTCGCCCGAAAGGGTAACGTCCCCCGACAAAATTGCACGGGCCGCCGACCAAGCCTTACTCTGGGGAGTAAATAGGCGCGAAACTGACGTGCCCTCCAGCAGTGTCAGTATGGGATTGGACTTGTCCTCGGCGAGGTTATGAAGGTATGTCCCGGCGGAAATACGGCAGTGTTGCGACCGCGTGATGTAAATGCGGAAGCGCGGGGTATCCTGTGGATGGATCTGTGCAGTAACTGTGATATGCTCTTCGGCGGGAGTGATATGCACAATGCGGGCACGAATAATGTCGGTTTGGTATGCTCCCTCTATTTGCTGGCCTGCAGTCCAGCCGGTTTTCCTAACCTTGGGTATCTGGAAGGTTGCAAGAGTGGGATACGCGTTGATATTGGGGGTTGTCCAGATGGCAGGGTGCGAGGAAGTATCCAAGTTTTCAGCTACACATGCGGATAACGTTCCTACGGTGGTGCCGTAGAGGGACTCTAAGAAGGGCATTACCTCGCGTGGATTAGATTGAAACATGCGGAATTCGGTGAGTTTGCTGTTAACCTGCTGCTGATGTGTTTGAGAGGTCGGACGTATACCCGATGGAGCAGGTGGCGGACTTGGGAAGTATTGGAGGTCTGCCATACATTCCCGAAGCTCGTTAAAGGCGTTGGCTTTAGGAGTACATGCGAACAGCATGTAATCCAACTGTCGTGGGCGAAAATCGGCAGTGATGAAGGTATTGGCACGGAGGCGTGCGAACTCTACGTCGGGATCGAGGCGATTACTATTCACCGTGACTAAAGTGCGGTGACCCTTCATGCAAATCTGAAAGGATTGTTGAGCTTGTGACGTGACAGAAACGATGTATCCGAGTGTCTCAATGAGGTCTCGGTGAACAAGAGCAAATTTGTCCACGCGCCATATGGTAGGCTTGCGGTGGTGACTCGCCTCTTCTATGGTTTCTGGGTAGGGGAGACCTTCTCTCATGAACTTGGTTGATGGCAGTAGGGTGTATACCCATACGAGGTCACCAATCAAAATGTGGAAGACGTCGATACGATGTTTTCCCGTAAGGATGTTGACGGAGAATTGGTCGAGCATGACAGTGTGGAGGTCTATGCGATCGGGTAGGGGAACCTCCATGTGCACAGATTCGAGGCGCGCTCCCGTACCAAAAAGAGACTTAACGCAATATAATACTGGGTGGATTCCTTTGTGGAGGCGCAGTCCCCGGACGTAACTGAGCATTTCGCGTGCGGATGCTTTTTCCGCAGGTGCCAGAGGGGGAAACTCCCTGCCTTCAATGCGCGTTTGATATAGATCTAAATAAGAGTGGCGCTGGCGAAAGCTTTCTATGGCTTGCGGTCCGACGGCTTCCAGGATGGACGCCGGGCGACCTTTGGAGGTGTAGGCGCCGCTATGCTCGATGAACGGTGACAGCCGGCTATAACCTGCTGCGGTGATGCGCTCAAATTTTGAAGCGGGCAATTCGGGATCGTAATAGGGTGATACCTTGGGGCGTATTTTAGGTGCAAGAAGGTGGCTCCAAGGGTGGTTAACGAATTGCTCGGTTTCAAACTCAATTCCTTCCTCTTCCAAGGGGACTTTGAAAGGGCGTTTACGCGGGTGGCTTGACGTGGGCTCGTCTCCCAAAGCAGTTTCCTGTGAGATAGCGGATTGGCCGTACTGGACTCCATGATAATTTCGGGAAATGGCCGGCGCGGCGTTCGCGGATCACTCTTTTTTTGCGATGTTGTGCTGTTTCCAGCATTGTTATTGTTACTGGTCGCCGATTCCTCCGGGGAGGTAATGGGCTGATTAGGTTGCGACGAAGCTTCACAGGGGCGCCCGTCGTCGGTAGTCGGCGCCTCTTCATAGCCACACAGCAACTGGAAGGCCTCTTCGAGCGGCATCTGATCCATGAGGTCGTCGATATCAGACTGCTCCAGGGTTCGACGGTCATCTAGAATACATTAGACATTTCCTAGAAACGGTGAACGTGTCATGCTGTCAACGAAGATGTCATTAAAAGAAGATACCGCATTGTAGGCTAGTATTGGCTGATACTGTTACGACCGAGGGTCCCTGTGAAGAGGTGACGCTCTGGGAATCGAGGGTATCAACATTTTCAAGACGGGGTGTGTCTCTGGCGGGTGAACCAGACATATTACCTGCAAGGTGTAAGCATCGAAAAGCAAGTGTGTTTGAAGTACGTGACGAGACAGCGAAGCACATGTTAAAGTCGGAGGTGATGAGCGAAAGAGGAATGAGATCCTGATGAATTAGCGAAACCAAATAGCTGGAAATGATTAGTGGAGAGATAGGTTAATATAAGATAGTATGTGACACAAGAAGCACAATAATATGGAGTGCATGGGTACTTGACATTGAAGAGTTACTGAAGGTGGATGAAAAAAGAGGTTAGTATGATCTAAAGTGATAGAGAAGCTACCTGTCGTGATTCCGCGGTCGCAAATTATACCTTGTGGGGGGAGTAGGATCCTCTAGAGCCTGTTGTGGAGTCGTAGGCGAAGTCGACGCTAGATCGTGCTTATGGCCTGATATGGCATCAGTGGGGAATGCATTGAGAAAGGTCTCCTCTTCCGGGATGGTCGGAAGTGTTGACGCAGGTCCGCTGTAGTCGATTACCTTTTTGATTTGGTTGAGGTGAACCCGACGGGGTTTGGACTGCGGGGACGTGATACTCAGTATAGTAGCGTGAGGAGGGTCGACGCTAAGGACTCGGAACTGTCCGATCCATGGAAAGCAGAGTTTTCTCGCAAGTCCCTGTTTGCTAGTATAGTTGCGGAAGAACACACGGTCCCCTGCTTTGATCTGGGACGGACGCGCCGCTTTGTCGTATTGCGCTGCCATCGATTGTTTGTAGGTGCGAGCATGTTCCGCGGCTTGCTTCCATGCCAGGTGGAGTGCGGATACGAGTTGCGCTCTATACTCGTCGGTTCCGGATGGACCGGGGATCTGAGGTCTGGTTTGCGGGAGTAAGATGCGGTCGATGGTAAACACCGGGTCTCTCCCGAACATCAGGAAAAAGGGTGTTTTGCCCGTTGCTTCGTGAACAGATGTGTTATAGCAGAACGTTACGCAAGGAACGAACAAATCCCAGTCTTCTTGTTTTAAGTTGATGAACTTGGAAAGCATAGATTGGAATGTGCGGAAGGTGCGTTCTGTTGCCCCGTTCCCCATTGAATGGTAAGGGGTTGCAAACCTATGCTGAATATGAAGGAGGTTGCAGAATTCCTGGTAGAAATGAGAGGTGAAGCTTGACGCCTGGTCCGAGACAAGCTCGGACATGGTGCCGTACTTGAGAACGCAGTCAGAAAGAAGGGCATGTGCGATGGTATTTGCACGTGCGTCTGGTAGTGGGGTGGAGATAACGTATCGTGTGAACCAACATACCATGTTGAGAATGTACTTATTTCCTCGTTCCGTGGTTTTTAGCGGGCCGCAAAGGTCGAGACCAACCTTTGCAAATACCGCTTCGCTATGCACCGGGATCAAACGTTCACAGAAAGCAGGTTTGGGATTACGCCGCATTTGGCAGGTGAGGCATTCCTCGGACCATTTACGGACGTCGGAATGGATTGTTGGCCAGTAATATTTACGTAGCAGTTTAGCTAGGGTCTTTTTCCAACTAGTATGTCCTCCAGAGAGGGCGCTACTGTGATGGGCGTCGAAAAGCAAACGGAAAAATTTTTGGGGTACCAGCAATAAAGACTGGGTACCGCCGAGCTTGGGGGGTTTGTAGTACATGCACCCATCGATGTTCAGATGAGTGTGAAGCGCTATTGCCGTCGCTTTAGACCGAAGCTCGTCGCTTATAGAAGGTGGTAAGGGCTGGTCGGTCTTCACGAGCCGTACTAGACGAAGGAAATTGTCCCGTTGCTGTTCGTGACGGAAATCTATGAGCTCTGGACTACCGCGAACGAAGGTACGGTTACCCCTGGCGGGGGCAGGTGGCTCAGTGAGCTCAGCTTGGACTTGAAGACTCAGTGGAAAGTCTATTATGTCCTGCAATTCCTGGTCTGGCACGGCCACGGCGTTCTGGTCCTCGTGAACCCGGGATAACGCGTCCGCTACGGTGTTTTTGGTTCCCTTGATGTGGACGACTTTGATATTGTAGCTTTGGAGTTCGATGAGCCAACGCGCTAGATTATCGTGCGTTTTGCTTTTGTTTAAGAGAAAGGTTAACGGTTTATGGTCGCTGTGAAGTGTGACTTGGGTCATGCATATGTAGGGTTTGAACTGTCGTAGGGCATAAATAATGGCACCTAATTCTATTTGAACGGCTGGCCACCGGCGTTCTGTTTCCGTCAACGTGCGGCTACAGTACGCTATGGCGTAGAACTTGTTGGAGCCGGGTTGTTCTTCCTGCATAAGAGCGCCTGCTTGCGCAACGGAGCTGGCGTCCGTGAAGATATGAAAAGGTTTGTTATAGTCTGGGTTAAGATGGGTTTATTGATTAGAGCGTCGCGTAGCTCACGAAATGCGGCTTCCTGAGGCTCCAACCATTGGAATTTGTTGCTTTTACGTGTTAACCTAGTGAGGGGTTCTGCTATGTTCGCAAAATTGGGGATGAATTTGCGGAAGAACCCGACCATGCCTAAAAACCGTTTCACCTCCTTAGTGTTGGTGGGCGTAGGGAATTCGCGAACCGCTCGTGTGTTGGCTTCAGCGGGTGAATACGAGTCCTTATTAATGAGGTGCCCGAGGAAAGTGATCTGCCGTCTGGCGAAGACGCACTTTTTGGATGATGCTTTTAGGTTGAATTGACGAAGACGTAGCAGTACCTTTTCGAGGGATGTGAGGTGGGACTCAAAGTGTTTATTATAAACGAGGATGTCATCTATGTAGGTGAGAACGTTGCCCTCTAAGCCACCTAAAACCTTGGACATTATGCGTGCGAAGTAGCTACCGGCTGACTTTAGGCCAAAGGGGAGGTGGGTCATTTGGTAGATCTTATTCTCGGTAATGACCCCGCATTTGTAGCTGCTTTCTTCATCGAGTGGGAGTTGCAAATAGCCACTAGCGAGATCCAATGTAGTATAGAAGGTGTTACCGCCGATCTTCTCGAGAACATCGTCAATACGTGGGATAGGATACGGGTCTGGGAGTGTTTTAGGTTACCTCGTTGATTGGACGTCTCATGTCGAGGCAAACCCGGAGGGTGTTATCCTTTTTGCGAACGACAACTAAATTGTGGACCCAATGGGTCTGGGACTCTTTCATAACCCCTGCTTTCAGAAGTAGGTTGATATGTTTCTGAATTTCCTCGCGATACTTAACGGGTACTCTATACGGACGGATTTTGGCAGGTGGGTCATCCGTGGTATATATGTGGACTTTTCCCGCCGTGCAGCTGCCTATATCGTATTGATGACGAGAGAAGACGTCAACGTAGCGGTCTAAGAGCTTGCGGAGTATGCTACGCTGAGTATCGGTGACATCGCATTGATCGAGGTTGATCCTATAAGAGGTATCTGCCCCGTCAAATGAGTCCACACAGGTGGCCGCTATGGGGGGGAGTGGAAGCTCACTATGGTCAGTCAGAGCGATTTCCTTGGTCAATGGCATGGCCTTCGCTATATGCATGCCTGCGTACAACGTCTGAGGTTGGTTGGTAGGATTGGATACCAGTAGAACTGGTTGTTTAGAATTGATTATGGCGGGAGCTACAGAGAGGTCCCTTTGAAAAAGACGCATCGCTTGAGAGACGAGCGTGAAGTCTGTGGCCTCTCCCCAATTGTTCAGGGTGCACTGAACTAAAGTTTCCATGTTTGGCTGCAGTTTTATAGTATCGCTTACGCACACCGGGAACGGTATCAGGGGGAAAGGTTGGGGGGACGTACCGCTTGACCCAAGGGAAGGGTAGCTTGACCGAAAGAAACCTGGTGATTTTGGTAGTCAATAGTCATGGTTGGTAACAAAGCTAGGAGATCATTTCCCAAGATAACTTCGTACGCTGAGTGGATGTTAGGAACGCACGAACCCTTGGTGAAATGCAAAGTGTGCTGCAGACAGATATTGGAAATTCTTAATTGGACTTTCTTGGATCCAGCCATTGGGACGTGGATACCTGCCATACCCATTGCCGTGATAGATTGTGGGGGGTCTAACGTGAAGACACCCAAAGCTGCGCAAAGGTTTTGCGCAGCCAAGGTGATACTGGATCCGGTATCAATCAATGCCGATACATTGACTCCGTTAACTGTGATCCGTATGTGTGTGGAAAGGGATTGAGTCGCTAACGATAAGGTGTAAACCGTGGGAAAGGGAGCTGGCTCTAAGGGGATTGGGGACTCCGCGGGAGTACTGTAGTTTTGCGGCGCTGGCATTGGCTGGGGTGGGCTCCGCCCCCTTTTTCTGTAGAAACGAGCTACGTACTGAAACAGATGCGTGGGAATTTGGCTCGAAATGTATAACATGATAATGCGAGATAGAAACTGGACTGAAACTACTATGCAGCAAAGGGTGACCCATGGTTTGTAAATAGTTGTTAGGAGGAAGCTAGCGAAGCTAAGAGGAAAGGATGGGGTCGAGAGGATACTAGGCTTAGTTGGGTCGTGCTGAGTTGTCGCGCTAGTATGGGCTTCCAAAGCTACCTGATTCCCTTCAAGCGCTGCCCATAGCTCAGAAAACTGTTGTTCGGGAACGAACTCGCTGATGTTAGTGATGACCAAGTTATGGAAAAGGGTGAGAGCGGGACGCAGGGTACTCTGAGGACGGTTAAACGAGTGCTCAATTACGGTTATGGTAGAACGAGGAATAACACGAAACGAACCAGACAACGGCATATACTGAGAAACGGAATCGTTGAAAGGAAATTCAAATAATAAATCTGTTGAACATGGCACGGGACTGGCAGTGTGAGAGATAATATTAGTGACAGGATCGAGAAAAGCCTTCCAGTGGGTGTTATCTGGAAGGAAAACCGAGATAGAAGGTAATGAGAAGCACGACTTATTGAATGGCGAAAGCGAGTACATAGAGGGTGAAAGGCTGGCGCGTGATTTAGTGCGAACGATATTGTTTCCGAGGAACTTGGCTTCAATGTCTGATCGTTGAAGGATATTTCTCATGGCTATTGTGGGGTTAGCAGAAATAGCGGCTATCAAAGAAGCACTGAGAGAATTTATCGATTTGCAAAGAGCAAGGATAGCGTGATGGAACGACCCGCTCATAGATTGTTGCATGCCGTCTTCAACAGCTAATAATTGTGCAGCCAGCTGATTGGTCGTAGCAAGACCAACCTGGTGGCGGCTGGATAGATTTACATGACGTTTAGAACGGTAGTATGAGAGAGATTCAATAGCATAACCTTGATCTGTGATGATAAGAGAGTGACCACAATCAAAAATTGGAGTAGCGGAAAGAGAGAAAGAAAGTGCGAACTCCTTGGAGTCGCTAAGCCAGACCTTTTCCGCCAATGTGCCTTTCATTGAAGAAACGTGAATGTACCTACAACTCTCTTGGCTGTCGGGGGTCCAAATTACTGCCGATCCTGATTGCATATTGCACTCTCCGCGGTGGTAATTACAGTTATCCATGAGTCCTATGGAGCTTTCAATGGAGTCCGATCCATGGTACGCGAAAATTGACGCCTGAAAAACTATGCAGTTGGAGACCGAGGCGGAGTAGTCTGTACAGCACTGAAAAGGTGCTGACGGCCAGTCGATCTCTAGGGTGTTCATATTTTTTAGGACCGTCCCCACCGTGATTAGGTCGCCATGAGCGCAGGCCTTGTGAGCAACCATGTGGCGACACGATTCAGGGGGAACCGTGTGCTCATGTGATACTACGGATTGGGAACGGGCTCCGAAAAAGTTCACCGAGTATGTCGCGGTTTGAGTTATGACGCGACACACGTGGGCGATACTTCTATAACGCACGGTATTAGGCCTATATACGTTAATCGTCAATGGTTTCACTTCAGCGGATATAGATGGCAGGATTTGAGAGCAGTTGATATCGGTAGGGATTTTCCAGTAACTAACCGGTGCCTTATTAGAACATAGTAAAGGAGGCATAATGTGTGCGTCTGAAATTTGAGAGAGGACGGCTATAGCGAGCATACAGGAGTAGGCCCAGCTAATTGGAGCCGAGGAACTCCTGGTGCTCTTTGAGGGATGTTCCTGCGGTGCATCTTGAAGGTTCAGGTCGCGGGTTGCGAATGCGAGATCCGCCAACGCGCTATTTCTCTCGAGAAGAGCCCCGATCTGGGCATCTTTCTGCTGAGTACTCCCTTGATCCGACTGAATTTGCGGGTCATCCTGAGGTCCCGCGGACTCCATGGCGAAGACCCTGGGTTGGCTACGAAGATTGGGTTGCGCAGGGATGTTCTGATGCCTGAAGGGTTCTTGGGTATTTCCCACCCATTGCTGATTGTTGGGAGCCTGTCTGCTACCCCATGGGTTGCGCGATTGACGAGGCTCCCTTTGAATCGGTTGTTTAGCTGCGGTACGATAAAAGGGCTTCGGTGGTGCCAAATGCGATGGAGGGAGTTGAAACCTGCAGAAAGTTTGAATGTGGCCTACTCTCCCACACCGAAAGCATGTTACGTCAGAGTTGGGTGCGCGTTCCGCAGTTCTGCGATTAAAGATGCCTCTAGGTTGGGAATTTCTCAAGGGTCTACGCATGCCGAAGTTGCGTCCACCTGAATAGTATTGTTGAGGCATTGTCTCCATGCGTGGTTGCGCATGTATTGCGTGGACCACGGGAGGAGGCGGTTGCGCCGGAGGGAATATGGTAATCGCGTTTGCGGCATCCGCCAAGAGGGATTCAAAAGTGATTGCCTTGACTACGGCGTCCTCAAAAGACGGTGGGTTGGCCGCCTTGACATGAAAGCGTAGGGCAGGTCTGAGACGATCTAGGTACTCATCAAGGAGTCTTTCGTTTTGAGATGGTCTAGGTTGATTGCGCGTTACTTTCTTAATGATTTGCTTGATGCGTTCTGCGAACTCACGGGCCGACTCAGTGGGTCCCTGCTTGCAGTCACTTAATTGCTGTCTTGCCAGGCTTCGGAAGTGCGGTGACTCAAAATGATCGCGCAGGTGCTCAACTATCTTGCGATATTGGTTCTTGTCCTTTTCCGGCATTTCGTCGACTAGGTCACGGGCTTCCCCATCTAGGTACCCGACCAATGTATTGGTCTTGAGTTGTTCTGGTAGCGGTGGGTTAACCATCCGCACCATATCCTCAAAGCGCCTAAACCAAGACTCGAAGTCTTGGCCGTCGGAGCCTGAGAAGACTTTCAAAGTTTTGGGTGCGAGCTGCCCGAAGGTCAGGCCGCTAACAGGAGGAGCGTCAGAATCCGTGGTGGGCATCTCCGCCACTCGTTCTAATGAGAGCGAAGTGCCTGCAGGGGCGTCCAGTTCGAATTGTAGAGGGACTCCTTCTTGCTGGTCCGAAGTGGGTACCTCTGGGGTTGATGACGATTCCCTGGACTGGCAGGTTTGGGATCTGGTTGTAGGACGAGGAATGGTAGAGAGTAGAGTATGGGCTGTGCACAGTGGACAGACTGGATGGATTGAACGAGCGACGATGGGTATTTATGCCAAGGGTACTGTTATCATGTTATGAATCTACAGTTGCGGAATGTTTGTCATGCTGAGCAGAGCCGAGAAGCTGCTCCGATCAGATAAGAATACGCTCCCGCTGCTATGTTGAAATTCAAGGCTGGGAAAGTGTCGGCGAAGCTGCGAAAAGATCTGGATGGCATTTTGTGATCTGAGAAAGTAAACATGGGGAAATGTTGAGACATATTCGAAATTCAAATGTGCTATGTGAGAGAGGAGCATTTTTGAACGGAGAAAATGAAAAAAAAGGAAACGTAGTGGGTTGGATAAACGGGAAGTGCGAACTGCCATAAGTTTCTGAAAAGGAAGGCGGGAAGTGTGCCGTTTAGCGGGACTTGCGCAAGATCTTGAGAGCAGGAGAATTTAAACTGTGCACTAGAGCGTAAGAAACTAATAGAAATGGCGAATAATGCAAATAATACACATCCTTTATCGGGTAGGAAAATATCACTCATTGGAAAAAAAAAAGTGTACTTGAAGAAATGCAGTTGGATTGAAAGTTGTACGAGAAATGTGGCGGGATATACCGCAGAAATGAATAATTACAAAAGACTAAGTCGTACCTGGGATATCGAGATTAGAGCTTTCTGGCGATACTTCTCATGGCTTAAGCAGGGGTTTGGACTCCCGGTCCCAGTGGTGACGGGGATTTTGCCGGCATAACCGGGCCATACTGCATATTCCGCGATAAGGAGCTCCTAACGTATATCGTTCCGGATTTCTTCACGAATGCAGCGAGAACACTAAAACACAAACTAATAGAGCGATGAGGGTGAGGTACAAAGGGAGGGGAATTTTCAGAGGGAGGCCCGGGAATTCTCTCGAAACTCACCTTCGTGACACCCACGAGCAAAGCTCCCCGGTCGAGGCTTAAACCGGTCATCTCTCCAAAGAGAGGGACTACTGCTACAACTACTAGCCCACCTGGTCGGGGGATTGTGGCTCACTCGGAGACCACACTCGCTGCTACCAGTAATGATCCGGCCCATCGGGATCATTTATACCCACCTATCTCAGCCTCAGGTCATGACCTATCCAAGACATAACACCTCATATATAATATCGTTTATCCTTAAGGCACAACATAGAACCGGAACACGATTGATAATATGCGACAATACGGACAATACAGCAAAATGAGTATATGCGGATATGAAGAATGGCCCCGGGGCCTCTGGCCTGGGGACGGACGAGCACGAGACCCATCCAGTGTCCTCGGCCGTAGGTCACCGGGTTGAGTAATTCGGAGTTGGTGGTGAGGTCCGCCGAAACGTGACGTCGTCCTGGGTAGATGTGGTCGGAATGCCGTCGAGCCAGAGCCTCGAGTACGGTCGTGCGCGGCTTTTATACGGTTCCCAGCCTTATCTCCGCTGTCGTCTGAAAACATAGGATGAAGCTGAGAATTGACGCGAAGGCAAACTTAACTGTAAACATCAACCGTACCGTAAACTCGGGGCTAATAAATGTATTTTGCTAATTCGCACTTTACCCATCCTTTACATTAGTGACCTAGGACTACATTAACTTCAATTATGCTATGCTGATCCTTAAGCCACGCCATTTGCTTCAAGGTCGCCGTATTATGATAATCTTTGAGAAAGAAGCAGTAAGAATGCAGATCTTGCTTCTCACTACTTCTTCATGTTGTCAGGTGCCAGTGATTCAGAGGAAATTTCTACTCGGTGAAAAAGCTAATATACTTTGGCAAAACGACAGCTTACCTTTCAAACAACGTATCATCTCTTCCCTTAATTTCGGATCTTTCATGGGAGCGGACACACTTAACATCATCTCTTCCAACAACATTTCATAAGTAGCACCAAGATGAAACGAAAGCAGAGTCGATAGCGTGGGTCCCGCAACGAATTGCTTGATTCACAAGCTGTATACTTGACAAACGTCCAGAAACTTGACAAATGTCTCGCGACAACTCGCCCGGCGTTTCTTCAGGGCGTAGGTTTAGGCGACAGTCTAAGTTTTGAGTAGTGCATGCCTTCTCCATTTGCCACCTGACACGATCATGGCTGATTCGCCCCTGATGAGACATCCGACAATTGTGATCATTCCAACTCCTTGCCCGTAATATTCTGAATTGGTGTCAATCTCAAAAACTCCAGTCCTCTATGAAAACCCTTCACTCTTCCCTTCGTTCTTATGCTCAAGTTCCGCTAAAAAGCATGTATTTTTGAGTAAATTCAAGGTCCATTCTTGCCACAGCACTCTTGTTGCGAAACGCTCGAAACGAACGCACCACACTTTTTTTTAGAAATGTGCCTGTAACGACATCTCTGAAACTGCTCGAGCCTCCCACCCTTCGCAGTTACCAATAGCTGTTGTATCAGTATGTAATCTCGATGGTTTCCATAGTTCATCTGTACTATAATGCCCATGACAACAGCCTAGTTGCAGCTGTCCTGCGGAGGAAGCTGTCATCAAATGGAGAATGTTACAGTCAAGGTAAGATTGGTTTTACACTCATCATTGAACAGTATAAAATTCGCTCAACTAAAAGAAAGTGAGATAGAGTGAGCGAGATGCAAGGATGTGAGGAAGGAAAACATTTTTTCAGTTTACTCAACGTGAATGATAACGTGATGTGATAGCGGAATATTTTGCATGGGATTAAGATCTGAATGTCACACTTTTATCGTACAGTAGGACCCTAATGAAACGTCTCTTTCTACGATTGTATCGAAGTACGGTTATCCTCCCCTCACCTTTCCCACTTCTACCTCCAACTCTGCTCACAAAATACTACTGCTCACGACGACTGCTTGGCTGCTTTCATAGTCCACGATTTGGCTCGCGACCGATCGCGGCACCCGGTCGCGGGCCAAATCGTGAACTATGAAAGCAGCCTTTATGTCGCCTATCTCTAAAATCTAGCGAAAGAAGCCTTGTGTAATGAAGAGAGAGGAAGACGCACGCTTACAGGGACTGCTTCCTTATTGTACAAAGTGCAATTAAAGGCAAACCGATAAATGACCCATTCACATTTGTAGGTACCGAAGCAGGGTCTACAGTAAAATCTGCTTTTATTCACGCAGAGGCAGGTGTTCCGCTTAACATGTGTATCTTCGAGTGAAATAAATTGTAGTTTTTAAGTCATCACGATAATTTCCGCAATGATAGTCATGGTCCTCCTCACTAGAGACTTGAGGCTCATCAGAGAAGAGTATTCTAATCGAGGATGTAATATCACCCATACGCTATCACTCCATGCCCCACAGAACTTACTCGGTTACTATAACAGAATACAATTTCAATCAAATTGCTTTGATCAATGAATTATATTTACTCCGATGGCGTTGGTGCTCCAATTACTTATAAACATAACAGATACCGAAACTAATCACGGAAAAAATTCCGGTGGGTTTGTGCTCATATTATCAACGAATCTCACTAGGACTCTAAACCAATCAATAATTACCCAAATATCTGCTACAATAAATAAACCAACCCAGTGATCTAGCCATAAATCTGTTTCGTGTTCCTCACTGGGATGAGCACTCGGACACCTTCAAAGCAACTCCAAACAAATATTGAGCCAGTCTGTTCCATCCCGAAATCTCCGAAGGTGAAATTGATCTTATAACAACAAGTGAGAAAATATACTTTACCCAAGCAGGTGCAAATTGCAGCACAATTCATGGAGGGTAACTTCAGAAGGAGTTTGAGTTTCACATCAAAAAAGAACGAGTATGCAGAAGTGGGTTATGTACATTAACGTGTCATAGCACGAAAAATTTCACGGAACCATGCTGTAAGTGAGCTAGACACGTATGGAAATTCGAGGAAAACGAGCAGATAAAGTGCGTAAAGCTGCACTAAGAGAAGATCACATGAGCTGTAATTGTCAATGATAAACTAAACGCTGAAACCGAAGGAAACGTAGGACAAGGGCCCGATAACTGAAATGGTCATCACGGCTGGCATGGAACCCAATGTCACTGCTCTGAAGTATCATTTTGTAAGCTACTCTGTCCCCTGTCATAATCCCCCTGTCAAACGAGTACAAAATGTCCAAGATCCACAGAAACGCTTGTGTAATATGAAAATCACGAAACAATATGTAAAGAAAGTCATAAGTTCGCTATTGCACTCTCCACAAATCATCATATACATAATGTTACCAAAACTGCCAAATAACTACTGTCTTACGGTAGGACCCTGTTTCCCAGTTTCAGCGCCTAGTAATGAATGAATGAATATATGGTAGAGTAAGTAATGCCGTATGAAATCACAAATCAAATACTGTCAAGGCAGTGAAATATACACGGAACTAATTATGATATACCTGAATGTTCTATGAATAGAGTGATCTAAAAACGAAATGCTTAGCAGGCCTTCAACTTCGGCGATGACGACGATGAGCTGATTGGAAGTGAGGCAGCTGTTCGTTGCGGTGTTGATGTGGGATCGTTCAGCTCGGTCAACCTTTTCTGGAGTTCCTGCTCTCGTAGCCGAACGTTTTCAATATCACTAAAATTTGAAAGGGAATGTTTCACATATATTGTTCACTTTATATCCAAGAAGGTGAAGAAAGCACTTACTCGAAACCCCTCTTCCCTCCTGCCCCAACCGCTCACCCTACTTCTAAACTTGGGGGCGAAATGAGAAAAAATTTCACATTTTAAGTGGGTCAACTTCAAATTTAGAGAAGATTCGAGAAGTGCCGAAAAATTCACACTCGAACTCACAAAATGTAGCCCCGATAGGGGTGTAACGTGAGAAAGAAAGAAACTAGAAAGGTAGGATGACAGAACCTACAAGAGAACTGTTTCGAGCACGGCATGATCATATCGCTTCAGGAAGCTCAAAAAGGTAAATGAGTGATACTTTATAGGAATCATACATCACAGTATACCCAAGCCCCCAAGCATTTTGAAATTGAATAGGAAGTAAGCCATATAGTCTATAAAATAACTACCGTTCCAGGTTGGTCTAACCTACGAAAAAAAGTTGGACCGAGTTTATAACTACGACGGACAACATTTAGAAGCTATAACTCGTTAAAGGAAAGCTGTAAGTATTATTTGCAAATTAAAGCTTAAATACTCTTCTGAAGTTGTCTGATCCTAGTTCGACCCCCGCGGATCCTTTACTCACTTAATGGATGCGATGCGATCCACCTCTTCCACAAATAAACAAATACCGTTCTTTCTCTTGAGATAAACAAATACTGCTCTTTGTCCGGGATTTCGCGACAGGCGCTCGATCCCGGCTGAGAAAAGAGGACTTCGATTATATACTGCGATTTAGGTTACACGCTGGGAACAAAGGCAAATGTTGTTTGTTTACTGCTAGCAAGGAGAACTACCTCATGGTTTTGTCGATGGCCTCCTTCGTAGCTTCGATGGCCGCTCGCAACTTATGCGACTGCTTCAGCTGTTTTTGATATTGTTGAGGCCAATTCGATTCTCTCATCGGTGTTAGGATGTTACGGAGATTTTCCTGAAAACATAAGACTTAGACTACCGGTATTCCTGTTATTTAGGATATCGGAATGGAGAGCTTTAATTGTTTTCACTACTCAACAGTTTTTTATTACTATTGGGATACTTTATTGACCAATAACATTGAGGTAAGCTAACCACCTTTCCAGCTAGCCAGGTCTTGTATTCAACTTCTGATCTTCAAAATACAACGCTAATCCAGAATCCCTTTGTGTATCTTAAAGAGCCACTGTCACGTCCGTCACAAAATGCAACTGATGGTTTGGAATTAAAGGCCGCCCGATATAGAATGAGCGAAGTGTGACTGACACGACCCCTATAGAATTTCAAAAACCCGTCCGCGACTCAAATATGTCCTATTATAGAAATTCCCTCCTAAAGTTTTCCATTCCTTGCTCCCATCTCACTGCGAGCGTACACTGTCTTCAAGACGGTCGCTTCGAAGAGAAGTAAAAAAGTCAAATAATAAGCAAAAAATGGAAGTAAAAGATGATTACTAAGCCAATACAACGAACTGTAAAATGGCAAACCTGCTGACGCTGCAGTTGAAGGAACTCTCGGTCTGCATCAGTTGGTAAGGTCAGTTCCGTGTTCAAAAGATTTTCCCTTTGTCTTTCAATCAACTGCCTTAAATGTAAGTGATAACAGCAAATTTTCCGACACTCAAGTTACTACTAGATATTATTTCATTGGTGATTACACAACTAATCGCCATAACACAAAAACCTTTGTTTTTCTATGAGAACGAGTAGGTCGTTTTGGCTGAGACCCATTCTGGCAATCGACATATCCTCATCCGGCAGCATTAAAAGCGGTGGATGTGAATGAGCCCCTCGCCCGAGTGAAGCGAATTTCTGCTCCATGACAGAGTTGTAGTCTGAACGTGACTCATAAAAGTAAACAAAGTCAAAACACTGTCTGGTATTCTACAGTAAAAGTACACATTAAAAACGGTAGACAGCAAACAAGCTGAAGTGAAATCTTGCCTGGTGGAGGTGGTCGAACACGCTCAGTTGCAGTTGCTCTCAACGGAATGGTTGGCAATGAGGTCGTGCTCATGTTCTGAGGAATCTTAGAAGGCTTGGCTGAAATGAAACATTGCGGCACAAGGAACCCATTGGTGACATCTCTAGCAAATAAGTAAAGATTTAAAAGTTACTGATAGTATTTATGCACCTGTTGGCATCGCAGTTGGCATACTGCTACTGGAAACACTTTGGAACGTCAAAGGAGGAGCAGATGTTGAAAAGTCCGCAACCTTTTCTGAAAAAGAACATGGCGAAAGAGTTTCGCTCTCGAACGGGAACATGGAAGGATTTCTTTCAAAACTGAATGTTTTTATATCACTTTACAACATCGCTTTCATTCCTATCCAGTTGTTATTTCAAAAGTCTTGAAGTATTCCACAATCATTCTTACAAACAAGTGTATCGCAGTTCCGTAGTAACCGTAGCAGTAGTTTTCATGAAAATTAACTTTAATGGACCCTAACAGAAGGGACAGGTTTAATGAAGTAGAAATCAATAGAATGAAGCAAAGTACTGAAAACTAGTTACTTTAAAAAACAGGATTTATGGAGATCTTCTGTTGAAAGCTCCGGTTAAAACGACAGCATTAACCCCTCCAAAAGACAACATGGAGTGAGGGCTCATACTCTCTTTTCACTTTGCCTTTAACACCTGCTATGAACAAGTGAGTAAGAGATCTGTAGGGATACGTAATGGCTTGAAAGATGACCTTAAAGCTCCCTCCACTGTCTTCAATGGTAAGCTGAGCCCACTGTCGATCAACCGTTTTTGCGAGCTATGAAATTAGCTACCACTGACTTTTGACTTTCTCATGTAAGAAAAAGCTATTTCGACTGCAAGACATATAAAGACCCAACTACAATGAGGTTGGCAAATAAGTATGTTTACAGATACCTCGAACATTTATCTCAAAAAGCAACAACTTCTTTTTGAAAAATCTGAATTTATAAATCAGGTAACTGGCTATTGCAGGGTCAATATCACTTTTATCACATGTCGATCCGTAAGAATATATGCCTAAATAATTTTTTTGCGTATTGTATTTTTCTTTCCTGAAACGTATGCAATAACTTATTTGCCAACTTTACAGCTTCACAAGACTTTCCTTGAAGCTATGAGGAAAAAAGAGAGAACGCAAGAGTTTTTAGGCTTGTCATGTGCGTGGGTTAGTGAAATCATCATCAAAATATTTCCTGTCAAATTTGACCATAGCTTTAAGGAAAACCTTGAAGGAACAGGAGAAATCAAAGGCCCGTAGCTTTTGGCATTCCCAGAGACATCAGTTTGTCACCAAGCTGCTTTACAACCTGCTATTTCAATTTTGCACTGTTCCCTCACCCGCAGGCCAAAAGTATACGAAGTTCTGTTGATTATGAATGGACCACAGTTAACCGTGAAGGAACATTAGGAAAAATAAACAAAAGAAAAAAGAATTATAATAGATAAATAAAAAGTAGAAAATCGATGAGACACTTCCAGTTCTTACGTGGTGTCATATCCGACGGTGAGCTGTTGTCTTCTTCATCGTCAATTTTTTTCAAAACAAATGTCACATTCGACATATGTTCACGCCACTTCTCCAGTAATTCAAGGGGCTTGTCGACAGGAGAAAGACGTCGTTCCTAAGGCTTATTTCAAGCAAAAACCACCACTGTTAGCAAATTCAACAGACACTCACCCTGTTGCGATACTTTTCGATCATCACAAAACGACCTTTCTGACTAATTGCATGAGCTAGTGCGTAGATAATCTGTGCACAGGTCGTTTCATTTGAAACACCCGAAATGCTTCGCTCAACACCATCCACGTTGACTTTCAACTCCATGTGGAACTGTAAAACTGATTAGTAATGGAGAAAATGCGAATGCTCAAGGGAGGACTAGATCAAAAGTCACGAAAGAAGAAATAAGAGAGAAAATCCTTCGACCACCAAGAAGAATGAGACATGAAGCTTCGCTAGTAAAGAGCAAACTAATTTTACTAGTCTGCTCATTTTGTTGAGTAATCATAGGGTACATACTGCAATCAATCTCCCCTGTGATTTGAACACATGTGCACTTTTGCCAAAAAAACTTAAATGTTCATGCCATAACGGAGATTTTTTGGTAAGTGGTAAGTCACATCCTACCCGTTGTGTACCTATTCCGACAGAAGAGTTTTCCCAGGTCGTGAATATACAAGTACAGTTAAACTGCCTGTGGGTCCTGAATTGAACATCATTCAAAACTAGTTGCAGCACAAGTAAAACATTAGGCTTAGCTAAACTTGGCTTCTTCAACCTAGGAAAGTTTTCATGCTAAATTTTAACCCTTTTTTGATAATGAAGATCCCACTACTGTCCTTGGAAACATTCAAAATCCTTAGTTAAGATAGTTTAATTTTCTTAAAGTATTGCTAGAGAATAAAAGTTTAATTTTCTTAAAGTATTGCTAGAGAATAAACAATTAAATGACAAGTGATTAATAAATGATTAGTACTTTACTGCGGAAGTTTTGTTAGAGATCAAGAGATCAGCCACAGAAAGGCATAGGGAGAAAAAAAAGAGGAGGAACAAGAATCCTGAACCGAACATTACTGAATGCGAAACCTATTGCTCAAACCTGAGTATGGGTACTTTCTGACAAAGCACATCCCGTCCATAACTTGGACATGGGGAAAAATAAGGCTAACTAAGTTTTTAGTTAGACTGACAGACACAAGTAAATCAAAACAATCGAGAGATAATCACTCATGATCGTGGAGAACACTGAAGACGAAACGAATATCCTTCACCGGCAGAGTAAACAAAGCTAACAATAGCGGGTAAAAACTCATGCGGCTGCGTGCTTGTCTACTATTGGAGCACGTTTCCTTGCAGTTGAGCTGCGAGTGGGTACGATTGATTACATTTAATCCTTGTTGTAATGTAAACTGATAATGATTGACAAGGTGAGCCTTTACTTGTTCAGTATCAATTGTTCCGTCCTTTTGATTATTATTGAAATCACCCGAAATCAAGAGCTTCCCACACAATTTTCCAGGCGATTTAATACAGTCTAGGGCAATTTTGCCGTAAGAAATTATATTGCAGTGTCGTATAGCTTAGAAAAAGCAAGTAGTTTTGAAGCTAATCAAATATTGTTCAATCACATGATATGCCCACATACTCTAAAACCACGAGGGGTCCCACTCGGGACTGATTAGCCCCACACAGGAACGAAAATAAAGTTAGCGTACTCGGTTCCTACAAAATAGTTTTAATGAATGAATGCGCAATGGACGCAGAATCCCATTGAACATACATTTTCTATCACGGATGAACCTATTTGACCACATAAACCTTCAATCCGTCACTAGACGACTCATCGAACGGGACCAAAGGCGCAGGGCTAGTGGGTGCGTAACCACGAGGGCTATGGTCGCATCGTAACCACTCGTTCGAGTTGGGACCCACGGCTCGACTACTATATGAAATGTTTCTCCTAACCCACTACTTTGATTCTACTTTGTCTTTGCTATTTTTTCATCATTGACTTTATTCCAAGCAAATATTAAGAGCCTCTTGGCTTCTACACTTGAAATGTTCAAAAAGGTCAAGAAATTTGGGCAGTTCAAGTAATATCCACTTCCGCTCAGATTTTCCGTCACTCCCATCCGCACTCGTACGGTCTGACTTTTCACGTGGGGAAGTCGTATTCCCTTTCGTTGAGTATGTCCTCAAAACCCTCTCCAAGATCTCAAGCAAATGTTGATGTCTACCTTCTCAATGGAACCTTCGTGTTTTCCACCTCCTCACCGTGTTGTTCATCTTTGTTGATTTTTCGGACCAATTTAAGTCAGCAAAGTGTTTTCGATGCGATAACTAATCTCTCAGCGACCTACACCTCTTCTAAGGCAAGAAGGTTAACTGTAAAATAAGGTGATGGATGTGTTGCTGGCATCAAAATGTCATTTACTTGCTTCAAGGCCAAGAGTACTTCTAAAGCAACTCAAAGAATGTTCATTATTCATCTTGACGGTCTACTACTGTAGCATTTACTTGTGACCAGTTTAGCGTTGCTTTATTCGAGCTCATTGCAAAATAAAGGACGAAATTACTGATCATAACGAAGCAGAAATTCGGAGTTTTTCGGGTAAAAGAGTGGCTCACTTGTTAAACGGTGAATATTAGGAATATTTCGGTCAAATTGACTGCTTTTGACAACTTTGGTGCTTCCAACACAAGAATTACAAGCATTATCAGTGGCTATGTAGTTATTTGATTACCTATTTTTTCGTGTTTTCCTACAAGTACCTACGGTAGTAAAACTTGTTCTTTCTTCTGCTCTCTACCACGCAGAACTTTATACAGTACAGTACAGTACAATTACTAGAATTCAGTTTATGTAGTAACTTGACAGATAGACGACTGTTCTCAGGACTTCGAACAAAGACTTACCGTGCGTTCTAATTTCGGGCTCTATATAACCCTCAGAGAACAAAAATACGGCGCGAAGAGATCAGCTCAATCAATATCTCAGAGACTCATCGTCCGTATTGGTTGGATGAATAGCTAACATAACAGAGATTAGATAGAACTTCAAAGGCAGGACATAGCATACTGAAGCATCAAGAAATAAACATAAGCATCAACAATATGTTATCAATGGTCAATCCTTCGACATCTATCCCCTACCTTTTTTCGAAAATTAGATTATGTGAAGTGAAAAAACTGTAACGAGCCATTGATCCGTTTATATGGGGGTATGCATGAGCCTTGAAAGGTGAGGAATGAGTGTGTCCACCGTCGAAAGGAGCATGGCTACTCGAGAATGTGGCTAGTTCTTTGACTAGTCGGCATGCAGTTTGTGACTCATCTGTCGAGCGGTGTACCAGTAATATGACCTATTATCATGCGTGCCTTCAGTTGTAATGTCACGATCGACAGCTTTGCCAACAGCAACTTAAAAATTCTCGGTGACTTATCCTATCAAGAGAAAGGAATGAAGTGAAATGAAAACTTGATTTCGATTGTGGAAAAGGGGGCTCAGCGGGTGTGGTGCAGTAGGGTCGAAATTGTCGCATCGCGGCGAGAGAGATGCCGTGCGAAAGAATGTGGCAGAATGCAGCAGCAGGTAAGAAATATAGGGCTAAAATAGCTAACAGTAGAATCATGCCTAAAGTAATGATCGCATATCGATTGAGCTGTAAAAACACTAGAGCTGTTATAACGGCGAAACGAATGGTTCGCGACAGCCGCGTGCGGCGAATCGATTACACAAAACCGATCCTAGTGCCCGTTTCCCAACATTTCGTACTGTATATTGCTATGTCCAACCGCTTTGAACGTTAGACGGAAAAGTAGCATAAAGGCGTAATTGGAAAGGAAACATGGTTGGAGCTAAATAATTTTTATCTGTTAGGTTGTGGAAAGCGTAAAAACAATGAACCCTTCATTTCTTTCATTTAATAAGTACTACTTCCATCCAAAGTAGAAGAAAAATTTATGGAACGTTTCTCGACTGCTTTGACTGCTCTAGAAGCGATCCGAACCGGGGATCGTGGAAGCAATAACGGAATTCTTGACTCTACTCTCCGCGTATCCACGAGTAAAAGTCACGTCCATATGCAGTTTATATCACATATCTATCAGACATCAAATCGATAAGTGGAATTACACTTATTGACAGCCTTGGGCCTGGAGGGATGGAAGGCTTGATTGGCCTGGGTGAGTAGTATTGATTTGGGATGCGATCCCCGGACCATTCGTTTCTGATTTTGAACCGCCTGCCAACTCATCATTTCCTCACATACCTATGATTATCTGCTGTCAGTCGAAGAACTTTGACGGGGCATCGGTCTCAGATGTCCTTTGTAGACCCGGTAACTCCACAGATAAATGGTCGGCGCTGGCCGAGGTCGATGCTTTCGGTATTGGTGTGCACAAAAACTTTTCCTTTTCCTTTCACTTTTTTCTCCAACTTACCTGCCCTGCAGGATTACTTCTGTTGTTGCACCATTCATATTGAACGGCCGTGGTCACTCAACGAACAGGCGGTTGTTTTTTGCTGCTTTTGTTCTTGCTGGCTGTAAAGTCTTCTTTGGACGTACAGTGACTTGCCGTGGCCAGAAGATGTACAAGCCAGTACGTTTGTCCTCCTAACTGACCAGTCTTGTTCCAGTTAATCGACCCTTAGGAGGGATGGATGTTTTGGTTGGCCCAAGTGGATATCGATCCAGGATTCGAACCCATGGCCACATGTGTGTGTTTGATACCCACTATTTGCTACTGCACCACCTTCGCTCGCCCTACAGCTGTAATGAAGAAGGATGAAATAACTTGTGAGAACACCGGGTCTTGATGTGTTCAATCCTCGAGCCCTGTGGTCGACCTCGATTCAAAAGATACAGTTAGCTTCATGAGTATGTAGTTTCTGCAGTGACATAGTAGCTCGATCCGGTACTCCTATCCGGATGTGGTGCAATAGGAACGGAATTGTCGCGTCGCGGCGAGAGTGACGCCGCGCGCGGAATGTAGCAGAATGCGGCAGCGAGTAAGAAATACAGGAACAAAAGAACTAACAGTAGAATCATGCCAAAAGAAATAATCGCATAGCGATTGAACTGTATGAAGAACGCTAGAACTTTCTGTAATCGATTCGCCTCACACGGCTGTCGCGAACATTCGCTTCGCCGTTATTACAGCTCTGGCGTTCTTCGTACAGCTCAATCTGGATACGAACCTTATTTTAGGCATGATTCTACTATTAGTTTTTTTTGTTCTTGTGTTTTTTACCTGCTGCTGCATTCTGTTGTATTCCTTCGCGCGCGACGTCCCTCTTGCCGCGACGCCACACTTTTGCTCCTACTGCTCCAAACCCGATGGTTCTATTTCCAGTCGAAAATCCTCCCTGCGATTTCTGTCTCTGTTGATTCTTTAAACTCAATCTACCGTCTGTGAAACGCGATTCACTTCGAATCTCTTCGACAACTTTACTATACCTGTGGATATTACATTGTAATTAGGCTGTAACTTAACAACCGGTGCATATTTATTCCCATTCTAAGCTAGTTCAATAAGCGGCAGTAGTGTTTTAGGCATGTTGTTCAGGCAGGCAGAAGTATCCTCGGTCATCCTTTAGTACGACACCATAGAGGAGTGGCGGAAGAATGCCCGTTGGCTGAGGTGAGCGCGTTCCTTGAAAGGATTAAATTAACCCAAATAGATTGTTACGAACAGTTCAAAAACACCTAACAGTACTGCATACTGACCTGGCCAGTGTTGTCATACAGGTAAATGCTAAGATCGTCTCCAGTGGCGAACGTTGAATCGGCCTCACAAACGAATGTGTGAGGTGGGTTATGAACTCCATGGCCTCGAGCATAAATCTAAAACGGTTTTTTTTCAAACATCTGTGCCTCTCAAGACTGATTTTTCAATTTTTTGCCATCTTCCTCTTTGTTAAAATTATGTCCTACCACGACGGTAGGAATTTAAGGATCATCGAGGGATGAAAGTGAAACCAGCAAGCAGTTTGTACGTTGATTCAGAAAGATGTTCGTAGGGAGAAACGGACCTTCAGGGAAACGACTTTCAAAACATTCTTCCTTTTTATAAAGTTATTTTGCTGAAATATAAGCTTAAAAGAGGTCTACTTCTTTTCAAGCTTATTTTCAGCCTTTGAAGCAAGATTCCTTGAGATATCTATAAATAGTTGGTTTGAAACCGTGATTTTATAGCGTCGGCCTCATTACAATTTTATAACTGTAAAAGTACATGGGAGTATGGCGTACTAATGCCAACGTAGACAAGTAAATTTGACGATTTCGGCGGAATTCACGGACTGTATGGGTATTGCAAACCGTTGCCACCCAGTAACTCTCTGATGAGCATTTTTACAGGAAGCAAGGTGCGTCTTTTGAACACGTGAACATGATTATCACGTTACTGGATACTGTTGAATGAACCCGAGGTACTGATTTGGAATCCAAAAGGAGTAAAAAGTTGCTCACCTGCACTCTATTCTGCGGAGTGAGGATGAAATCTCGAGGGAACGTGAAGGAGACTTGTTTAAGAGATGAACTGGTACTGCGGAGAGTCCAGTCCCCGAGGTGTTGATCGGTGTCCAACGATGTGTTCTCCACAATGACATACGAACCATCAGGAGCAACCTCCTTGAAACGTAATTTTCAAAAGGATAAAATCTTCTGGCGTTAACCAGTCCCGTCTGAGGGATGCGCCCCGCATTCGACTTCCATTCAGAATTGTAGTGCCGTAATGAATGGGTATGTGGCCTATACAATGAATTGCGCTGGCAAGCCGGCGTACAAGTCTGTGCTTTTATCCTTCCAGACAAGTCTGGTACCAATTAACCAACCCAGGAGGGATGAAACGCTTGGTTGGCCTAGGCGGTTATCGATCCAGCATTCGAACCCCTGACCGCGCGTGTGAGATAGTGCGCCACTTGCCACTACGCCACCTCCGCCCTAAGACGTAATTTATATTACCATGTAAATACATATTACCAGCTGGGTAACCTCTTAGGTGAACGTCTGGGGGAATGAAGGGGTATTTCGATGTATTCAAGGCCAATTCTACTCTGCTAACCTTAGGGCGTGATAAGTTGGAGACGAACTCGACGTTTTTCTCATTGGGGGTCAAAATGCCCCGGCCAACAAGTGAATTGGGGTTCGCCAATTTTCTGGGGCGCTGGAATTTCGCGAAAGACACTCATTGGGTGATTCGGGGGCACCTGATTTCTTTGAAAGGAAAAGTTCAGATTATTTCATTTTCGCGATCCCACCTACGTCCAGTCGTTATGTATGGAGATGGAAAGGTTTTGGGGCAACGAAAACTCGACCAAACTCACAGCAATGGCGACGTTTCCTTGTGCAGAACGGTGTAGGGAGTAGTCATGCTCCGATCCACTGATTCTCGATGCATTCATGTCATCAGTTGCTTCCTTGATCATATAGTCCAACTTTGAGATCACAGTTGGTGTTGTGGTGCTGCTCGTGATTGCATATCGTTCGCTTTGCTGAACAGCGCCAGATCCGCTGTCGTGGGTAGTCACACCATAGCCAATCTGAGAGGAATATTGGCCGGCACCGCTACTCATTTGGGAGTATGCGGGAGTAGCACCACTGCCAATATGGGATTGTGACGTCACGCCTCCACCAATCTGATACTGTCTAGGCGAGTAAGTACCGCTTGTTGCTGTTATTTGCTTCAATGAAGAGTTTCTGACATGAGTGTATGTGCCTCCACTGTTACCGCCGTGGTTGTAAACTCCACTGCCCGTTCTCGAATGGCTGACAACTCCGTTGTAGGTTTGACTAGTTCTTACACCGCTTCCAATGTCGTCTGAAAAAACTTGTGACTGTTTTTTATGATCGAAACACAGTTCTTTGAATTCGGGGTACCATAAAGTTTGAGTGAGTGTTGCTATCATTAAATAGTATGTAGTAGCCTATTGAGTAGTCGCGACATCATAAGATTTATTTCAAAAATTCGTCCTATAGGGAGAAAGATTGAAGTTCTTGGTGTTGATCCATCCCGTTTCAGAGTGCGCCCCATAATACGATTCCCCCCACAGTCGTAGTGGCGTTTTGAATGCGTAGGTGACTTATATACAATGATTGAGGGAGGCACCCGATGTGGAAGTTGGTGCTTTCATCCTCCTAGACGAGTATAGTATCAAATAAGTGACCTGGGACGATTGAAGGAATGGTTCGCCCGGGCTAGTATCGATCCATGATTCGATCCCAGTACGTGTTAATATCCCAGTATGTGATAATGCTCCATGTGGCACTACACCGTTCTCACTCTCTTGGACAGGATGATGAATAGTGGCTATGTTTTGCAAGTTGCGCGAGCTCCCCAAAAATGTACATATGCATTATATCGTGCAGGACTGCCTGGTACATGAGATAATGTAAGCTCGCGAGGTGCGGGAAATGTGTGACGGAGTACTTGTCAGTTACAAAACTGTACGAGTTTTTTGAACGGCTTCCAAGCTGGACTTATCATAAAATGTTTGCCATGAAGGACTACAAAAGTGTACCATGGATAGAAAGAAGGGATTGGCTCTCTAAGGGCTGTCTTGCCATCGAACCCCGGACCACCTCAATTAAGAAGTATCGCCATCATAAGTGAGTTCTTCACATTGTTACTGATAACTAGGGTTGGAGGGATTTCGATCTTTATTTTGAGTCTACTCGTTGAAGTTCTGGGAAATCCCAAAAGGGAAGAGGAATCGAGTTCTTACGCGAGGACGATATGTGATTTACGATGGAGAGTGCTCCAGGCGCAGCCGGTCCACTGCCGAGAAGACCTGTGCCAACACCATAGAGGAGCTCACGATAGCGCAGAATTTCTTCTCGAAGTGTCTGAAAAATTCCATTACATCAGGTTATCTCCGGACATCAGGAGTTATCGTAAAGATGGAATTCGACATACAGCAATGCTGTAGGTTTGTTGCGAAGGAGCGGCACCAGTAACTGCCTCATACTGATCCATCAGCGATTTCAGCTGATTTTCGTCATCCTTGAGCAACTTGTCTGCGGTAGCTAGATCTTGAGCTTTAGCATCTTCAATGTCAGCAATCAAGGATTCGAGGAGACGGTTCTGAAACTGATATTGTAAGTGGTTATATTACTCTAAAATACTTTTGGCAGGGGATATTTCGATTATTCAGTAAAATACTCTCAATATAAACCGTTTCCACTGAAAAAACCTTTGATCACTTTTTATTACCTCAACTAGGGGTTGCCTAGTTGTTAGGGCACAAGCTCTATGAGGAATCGGGAATAGTGGGTCCTTAGCAAATTGTATTGGAATTGTCTTCGTGTCGTGGGTGTTGGTAGCCGTACGTAAGAAAGATTCTTGGGTAGTATCCATACGGGTCTTTTCCTAGCTCTATTAAGTGGTACAGACTCGTTTAGGAAGAACGAAACTTCGCCTTGTGTATATATCGACTGACTTTAAACCGTTGTTAGCACCCATTCTACATTATAAGGATAGTTTAAAGGCACTGTTAACGACTAAATGGTTTCGAAGTTATGCGCATGGTTAGAATTCTGAGCCCCTCTGATAACATTTGTGCAGGAATTAGGTTGGAAAACGGCTGGATAGGGCACAATAAGGCCAGGAACAGTGGGGGACGCGATGCCTCCGCTCCTCGTTAGGCTGACTACGTGTTCAAATTGTCATTCACCACGTTCGCACTGGAGCGAAGCTGGTGAAAAATCGATACGCAGATTGGCAAATAGCCAGGAATGATCAGCTGGTCGACCGCCTCGTACAGGAGCTAGTATTCAACTGTTATTTCTATTTTATGTTTGTATTTCTATTGTTTTTTTTTTGTTATGAATTTTTTACGGTAGCATTCTTTAACTATTCTCGTAAATTTATTGAAGATTTCAACATATTTTGTGTAGATTATTGCATNGTCGACCGCCTCGTACAGGAGCTAGTATTCAACTGTTATTTCTATTTTATGTTTGTATTTCTATTGTTTTTTTTTTTGTTATGAATTTTTTACGGTAGCATTCTTTAACTATTCTCGTAAATTTATTGAAGATTTCAACATATTTTGTGTAGATTATTGCATGCAAATGTTTTTTTATTTAAGAAACTCCGTTAAATTCGATGTGTTGTCTGTATTGCAGACACTGCGTCGCCTTCGTGCGTTCTCGCTCGAACACTCCCTAACCGCCGTTTTCCAATGTGAAAGATGTCCAACCCCACTTTCTAGCACTTTTTTTGTCCCTTTGTAATACTTTTTGTTGCTCGTTTTTTTTGCGCTTTTTCGTTGTTATCGCTTTATTCTGAAGTAGTTCTACCTATTACCGTCAGAAAAAGGGTACCCTTACTTTTTTGTTAACAGTGCCTTTAATTCTAAAAAGAAACTAAGTGCGTGCTTACCCCGGAAATCCCCAGTCCAACCACCGGACCACTCTCTACTCTATGTACGTATATAACTTATTCAATTTTTTATACGAAGCATTCTCAGCACTGCTCTATTCCGCCAAGAAAATGTTGATAATTTTTGACTTGACTCGTTATTGGGAAATAGTTACCTCCAAAACATTTGGTTACCGTTATCATGTGAAGTTTAGTGATCTAATTCTTCTGGGAGATGGGCAGTAGGAACGGTTTTGTGTACTCGATCCGCCGCACGCGGCTGTCGCGGAGCATTTGCCTAGTTGTAACAGTTCTAGCGTTCTTCATGCAGCTCAATCGCTATGCGCTTGGCATGTTTCTACTACTTGTTCTATTGTTCCTGTATTTCTTACTTGTTGCTGCATTCTGCTCCATTCCTTCGTGCGCGGCACCTTCCCGCCGCGACGCGACAATGTCGTTCCTACTGCACCACGCCCAATTCTTCTGCCAAAAACATTTTCGGAGACCGTAGGTAAAAATTTTGATAACATTGCTACCTCGGGGGATTTTCTTCATCACTTGACAACATTATTTTCATGCACACACAAAAATGGCCAGCTTGGAAGATCGGGAATTGGAAGGTAGGAGTTGTTCTCGAGGCCCTCAAAATTTTCGCTAGCTCCCGCGTCTGGTTTTCAGGTGTCAGGCTGCTTTTGTAATCGGAGCCGAAAGGTTTCTAAGAAGATAATATTGAAGGGCATTGGCGAGGTTCACGTGCCTGGAGGTGCCGAAGCTACTTAATGGATCGGTTTTCAGATTCAACTTGAAGAACTTATTAAGTAGATGGTGCATACCAAAAAACTCACGCGATTTTCTAGATTGTTCAGTCTTGTTCGGACCTCAATAAGCTCGGCTCTAAGCAGTGCCAGCCTCTCCTGAAAATAAGCTCCCATTTATAGTAGTAGGAGTAATAGTATGCAGTAGTAACATTTCAGTACTTTAAACTGTACGGAAGGATTTGCTGTATGATGTAGCTCACCTTCTGCGATGTACAGTCAGCATGAGATCTGGAGGCGACCTGGGACACCCTCTGATCGTACCATTGTTTCATTTCCGTGTCTACAGTACTGGCTAACTGAATAGTAGTTCTTTTTGATATTAGATATTTCAAGTGGTAATTACTTGTTTTACTGCATACGTTCTCGTACTGTCTTCGAATATCCACCATTGCGGAATCTATAGCGTTGCGGAAATGCCTACGGTCTCCTTCGATGTCATCGAATGAGATCGACTTGATCGTCTGCGCCTGAAGTCATCTGTTTATCGAAACTGCTTTAGTTAATGCGCTGGTTTTCTGGTTTCTGGTTTGACTGCTTTTTTTCCTGTCTTTGTATTACATTTCCTCATTAACTCGTTATTTTCCCTACTATCAATGTTGCAAGGGTAATTTAGTTGGTGGCGAGGGAAAATTTATGTAATCGATATCGATTACCTCTTAAATACTGCTAAAAGTGTTCATCCAGTCACTCGTTTGTATATCTGAATGTCCTACATTCCATGTAAGTGAATTGTCAGCCTATGGAATGTGGGAGGGCGCTGAAAGCCCACTGACATGGACCTTAGCGAAAGACTTCAGTGGCTGCCTTTGTAAGTTCTTAGATGCTGGCAATCCCAATCACAAACCGATGGAAATTGAAATTAAAGGTTCTATGAACCTAGAAGCAGCAGTTTATACAGTCACCATTTTTGGGACCAACTTTTTTGGGTTCCGATTCTACTATTCTTAGAAGGGCGTGGTTGATCGGTACAGTGGGGTCACATTGTTTGACCCAAGAATTAGCTCCATCACCAGCGCGCTGCACCTCCCCCTCCTTGCCCCAGCTTTCGAAATGAACTTTTTACGGCTCCTCCATGAGAACTCGTTCTCATAACATAAAAAAGGAATTGTTGTAATTGGAACTATTTACTTTGCATGCTTCCAGGAGCGATTCGCATTCCGCTAGAAGATTCGCAGCACGGCGTTCGTATGCGCTTCGATCAACGACTTCTCGATCAATAATCTGAAAATTTACAATTCACTGTTGATTTGTACTTTCATTTCAATCACTAGTATGTTTACCGAACGCTGGGCGGCTTGATCTTCCATGAGTTTCTGGTTTTCCAATCTGATTCGGCTACACTCTTCTTCAATTCGTCTTCCGCGACCTTGTGCTACACACAGCTAAAGGATACATTGCTTGACTTAATGCTCAGCGTTCATATATTCTTACTGAAGAGTAAATACAGTAGTTTGCGAAAAAGTTGACCAAAATTATCTAAGTTAAGAATGTAAAGGAACCCTCTTAAATCCGTTCGAATGTTAAATATGTGGGGTGTGGTGCAGTACTAGCGAAATTTTCGCGTCGCGGCGAGAGAGACGCCGCGCGCGAAGGGGTGTAGCAGAATGCAGCAACTTCAGGAACAAAGAAAACTAACTAAGTAATAGTAATCGACAGCCGCGTGCGGCGGATCGTTTGCACAAAACCGTTCCTGCTGCCCGTCTTCCAAATATGTGCTGCGGAAGCCAGCCTTCTCATAAAGGAGAAGTAGACAGTTCATAAAATGATAGAGACCCGTTGAAGATTAATTTTTCATAGCAAAGCCAGAGCATAAGAGAGGGTGCTGAAAGTTGTTTGATGACATTAAGAAAGGTGGAAATCGGAGAGAAAAGTATGAGGTAGGCTTATAGAAAGGGAGGTGTCCAATATCAGAGAGGGAGAGGAGAAAAGGGGAGACAGAGAGCGCTGTAGGAAAAGTCAGAAAGCAGATTTACGGAAAGAAAGAACTTAATTTTTTTCAGGTAGAGAGGTATAGGGAAGAGACAAAGCCCTGATTCAGAGGGAAAAGAACAGTCACGTAGAGATGGGGAGAAGAGCAGAGGGGACAGTTTTGGGTAATCGATCCGCCGCACGCGGCTGTCGCGGACCATTTGCCTCGTTATAACAGTTCTGGCGTTCTTCATACAGCTCAATCGCTATGCGATTATTATTTTTGGCATGATTCTACTTTTAGTTCTTTTATTCATTATTTCTTACTTGCTGCTGCATTCTGCTACATTTCCTCGCGCGCGGCGTCTCTCTCGCCTCGACGCGGCAATTTCGTTCCTACTGCACCACACCCGTAAAGATGTCAGCGGCAGCTCTGCTATTTTTTCAATGGAAATAGGTTTTTCTATAGCATATGTCGAAAAATGAAGCTTCGTAATGAAGTACTGTTAGTACTGCAGAGTAAGCCATCCTTCCGAAGAGGATGTCCATTTGAAAATGTGAAGATCGCCTACTTTCATACGAATGTCGCACAATTTCACGAGTAGCGCATCTTCGTCAAGCTGTGCGTATTCACGTCGAGCAGCTTCAAACCTGAAGAGTCATTACAAAGGGTCCATCTACACAGGAGGTGAAAAAGAAATATTGTCTTAGAACCTCCTGGATACTTTTTGAATTGAGGCTGACTTCAACAGGAAAACAAAATTCAAAACACAGTATATGTAAAATTTTGGAGTCATTTTGGTTTCATAAAGTATTCAAAGTAGCTTTAGAGTTAAGTTTCGTGGATCATCCACGTTCATAGCATGCGCCCCCTGGTCCCCCGACGCGACTTCTATTCAGAAGCGAGTGGGTGGTATGAATGTGAGTGTGGCCTATACAAGGACTTGCTGGGGCTAATCGACAGGCAATTGGTACTTTTCTCTCCCAAGAAAGGTAGTACCCATTACCAGACCCTTTGAGGATGGAACTTTGGATGGATTCGACGGTGATCAACTCGGGATTCGATCCTCTAACCCCACGCATGGTAGCCCGTCTTTCGGATTCACTTCGGTGGTTGAAAACTTCCAGCTAAAATGATCCTTGTAGAATGTGCCTTTCTGTTTAACCTGAACCAATAATAAGTAATACAGGGAGTATACTCCTTTATAGAAGTATCATTTGAGGAGAATTTGACCCTGCCCAGTTCCGGCGCATGTCCCGCCCCTTGGGGGCGGAGCTCCGCTAGGCTCACGTGTGCCCTGTTGCACTTACCCTGTGCTCAACCCATTGCAAACGTGTCCCAACTTCTCCAGATGTTTCTTCAGGTTATATCGAATTTCCGTACAAACAAACGGAAAAACAGACAGACAGAGCGCTTTATGTATAGTCAGGAATGTCATGCAACTTTAGTGCTGAATAATCCAATATTTCGATAATCACCTTGATTCGGCATTGCTTAGTTGCATCTTCAATGCAGGTAGTTGTTCAGCTTCTGCTTCATAGCGGGATGATTTCATGGCATAACTATACTCGGGCTAGAACAATAGTAATTAGAAATATTGTAATAATTGTAACCATGGAAAATAGTGTTACTACCGCAGCTCGTGACCGATACGTTCCCGTTAACTGTCCAATGATCATTTCCAACTTGCGACGGCGTGCTTGGAGGAAGTGAACCTGGAATGATTTAATAATTCTTGATGGATCAAGACCATCTTTTAGATATTGATTTTGACTTCAGAACAAGCTCCAAGTCACGACAAACTCTACAAGGACACATAGAGTGCAATTTCGAAAAATTTAGTGTTTAGTTCCTTCTGAACGGAAAGGAAAAAAATTCTCTCATCCAGTGATAATTATTTTTCAGCTTTCTTTGTTTACACCAGATAAAAAGCTCACATTAGAAATGATGTCTGCATGTTTTTCATTTAGCGTGCCAATTTCGAGGTTTTCATTTCTTCTGGTGCGCTGAGCCTCATCTGAAAAGTTCTTTCTAAGATGTATGTACGTCGAACGGTTCAATATATGTCCATTATTCAACAAAGCACTTAGCTATTTTATTATTATTACTTATTTTATATTTTTATATTATTTATTTTTTATTTTACTTATTAGATTTATTTTTTTATTTTTTTAATCATTTTATGTACGTGAACTGCCATGAAACATATTTGAATGGAAGACGAGCAGTATAATCGGTTTTGTGTCATTGATACGCCGCACGCGGCTGTTGCGGACCTTTGCCTCGCCGTTATTACAGCTCTAACGCTCTTCATACAGCTCAGTCGATATGCGATCATTATTTTAAGCATGATTCGACCATAAGCTCCTTTGTTCCTGTTTTTCTTGCCTGCTGCTGCATTCTGTTACATCCCCTCGCGCGCGGCGTCTCTCTCAACGCGATGCGACGATTTTGATCCAACTGTACCACAGCCCATTTGAATGAAGGGTGCCGGAACTTCTCCGCGAAATCCCACGGCAAGCGGCAAAGGTCACGCGGCGGCTACCCTATCCTTACTCTGTGAATCCAAACCTTCCCCTTCAGAGCACGCGACTGCGCGCGATCGGGTGCGGCGTACGCGGCGTCGTTTGCAGGAAGAAGGTACCATAGCCTTTGAATGAGAGGCTCGTGCCGCGTTAATTGTGCTGCTCGTCGTGTGGTAACGGTCAACTAAAAATTTCTGTCAAAGCATCTCGGGGGCCGGAACATTCGAAATTCGTGGTGTTTTGAACAACTCTGGCGCCCATGATTGGGGCTCAAATATGAAGTAGAATTAGATCAGTAGGGTCAGCTGATCCTATTAATTTTCTTTACTTAAAACCTCTGGTCCTATGATAGGAGCCAGGAGTAGTCAAAATTGCCATGAATTTCGCCGCACGATTTGCCCCGTGCACCCTCGGACGCATGAATGTACCCATACCCATGCATCTTCATGGATGATGTCCAGACCACCTGACAGTCCTTTAAAATCTGCCGTGCCTGTGTGACTGATGAGACCCCCCCCCCCCCCCCCCCCCCCCCCTCCCCGCCCTGTGTATTATCCTCTGCACTCTAACCCTCCCCCGTCAGAGAGCGCAGAGGAATTTTAAGCAGTCACGTGACCTTCTATGGATATGTGCCACGGTTCCAAAACAATTTAACTTGGACACGATTCAGAGATACCTAAGCTAAAAAAAAAGAGCTATTCAAAGAATATGTTAAGGTGTACTCACTCCATTCGGTGGTGGTGGTGGCAGCCATCCTGAAAGAAAGTGGACTTCAATACGTGAGAAGTACAGATTGTAATTGAACAAATGTATAACCACAAAAGAGATTAACAGATAAAATAATACTCATTTGACTCAAAAAGATACGTAAAAGACATGAAGTTCAGTGAACGCCACATACGATTCGAGAGGGAGAGCCCTACCACCACACAAAGTGAAGTTCGAAACATTGGGATCAGAGACTTGGTGAAATAGCTTCGAAGTTGTTGCTGAGGGAGTGCCGAGGGGATTTGCACCTTTGCATGTTCGGAGTTCCTGTATGTAAGCCTTCAAGAAGGCAATTTCCTATCTCACAAGTTCCACTAAGTGTTAGCTTTACAAATGACTGCAAAGCTTAGCAAGTAGCTTTCAAGTATTCCTACACTCCCGTCGTGAAGATAGTCCGAGGAGCATGTCACGCATTGAAGGGGTCAGCCAGGCAGGGAAAGCACCCCTGATTCTGCGTCTTTACGGAAACAAGGTTTGGTTCTCGAAAGGAGTCGAAGACTTTTTCGAAGTCAGTATGGACTTTTATCATTCAGACCTGATGTAGTATCGATAATTTCTGGTAAATGGTACTATTTGAAAGTAAATGCAGCTCATATCTCCATTCCTCAAATTCCTCAATGAAATGTAGCCAAACCTTCTCCAGTGAGAGGTCACGGAACGCAGAGAATTGCTGCGACTTTGCTTCGCAGGCTGTTTTGCTACTTCTTTATTATTTCATCAGTTAATATCAGATCGATAAAGCTAACGCTATAAAGGGGCAGGAATGTTGATACACTTGATTGTAGTTATTGTTAAAATAGGTAACAATATAGGGGACGGTGGGGCTTGGATAATCCATCCAGATCTACCCTTTCACATCACGCGACTGCGTGCGTTCAGATGCGGCAAGCATGCGGTATGCCGTTTGGGCAGAAGAATCCGTCCGTGGTTAGGGCCAGAATGCTTCGTGAGAGGGTAGGGACGAACAAGAAATGATTACCTCATTCCCAAGCGAAATCAGTCTAAATGTATCCCTACAATATTTGCTGCGCCGTTACCTCTACATTGCAATCTGGAGTTGTATGATATGAAGATGTGGAATGAAATTGAGTTGCCAGCGTATAGGTGAACACTGAGTTGACTTTCCTTTCTTTTGTAACGTTGACTTTTTGTAGAATAAATGCGTTCGAAGAGAGCGTGCTTGGATTTCTTTCTGGAACGGTCATCGGCCGAAATTAGAGGGATCTTAGCGTCCCGTGAATGTGTGACACCGTAAACTCCTAAAACCCCACCGCCCACGCGTGGGCTTTACCCGGAGTACCTTTCCTTTGCGTGGTATATGTGACGGGTGTTTTGGAGGCGCTTCAGCATGTGTTTGGGTTGCTGCGTCACACATTCGCGGGACGATTATATCCGTTTTGTTCGGCCGAATAGCCCGATTGCGCGCACAAATGTTTCTGGGTTCTGTACCGGTAAAATTTCGCATTTTCAAGTATCAAGGTTGACCAAAATGGAGTGCAAGATGTCGCGCCAAAAACATCAGGGCCATCGTTATTAAGCGAGTGAGCACTGACGGAATTTGGCACCATTTGATGACAAGAAGAGGCCCACGTGGAAGCCGATTTCATGGTGAAGAGAGTTACTTCAGCTCGAGTCGCGATTTCAGAGCAATAATCATCTTGAAAACTGGTTCATATCGGTCTATATTGCTTTGACCTGTCCAACCTATACCCAGTTCGCCTTCTCAACGGGCCCTTCCATGCATCATTGTTCAGACGTTGCTAGGAGTAACACTGTTACGAGTAAAGTAGCTGTGAACTCACGATAGACCTGGTATTGATGGAACGCCAAAAAAAAACTCCTAATTTTAAGCAATTGTATAGCCCACAGAGGGCCTGATTAATGCTGTGCAAGCAGTGGCCATTTTACGACGAGCCAAACACTGCATAGATAAGAAGTGAATGTAACGACTTTGAGTTATTCCAAGTTTTGTAGGGACTTTACATTTACAGACAACAAATTATTTTACAGCCATAAATTGCTATAAAAAAATTCCATCAGGAAGAAAAGATCCGTGAACTTTTCCTTCTTATAGAAACTTTCTTCCTTGTACTTATAGAAAAGGCGTTCAATTCATTTTGTGCATGAAGAAATAGCGCTGAGAAAATGGCTGCTATCAGATGGAGTTACTTGGTTGTTGCTGTTTTGTCAATTCAAATCTAGGGCTCAAAAGATCATTCGTACATGTTGAAAAATTTTGCAGTGTAGAGATTTTTCAAGCAGAATGTTTTCAAACGTACTATCGTTAAGCTCTAGAGGGATAGTTAGTTTTGCTGAACCTGACACTTGAAACAGGAAGTTGTCGGTGAAGGAGCGATGACGCTTAGAACAGGAAAAGCTTTGGAATTCACTCAGACTGCAAATAATGGACGCGATTTGGATGGTTTGAGTTTCGTTTCGAGCTCGAGAACTCTGAGAAATGGGTCACGTTCGATTGATCTCGCTATTACTAAATACTAGTAATGAGTGATTATTTACGATAACAAGAACTACAAGAATAGGCAGAGAAATCGAGTGAATCGTAAGAGAAGTGGGGAAATGATTTCTTGTGGCCAATACCATTCGAATGTGCACTTTTGGAGGATTCCTGGGGTACGGTAATGGAATGATAGGGTAAAGTCCTATCAGTCAAAATTGCACTGATGTCCATTTAAAAAATTGCTTGATTAGGTGACAAAAAGTCGACTATTCCCTGGAACCGTACTGATAAAATAGCCAAGTAGACATACTAAGCACGTACGACAGCCGTGGAAACATCTCGGAATGCTAGGTGACAGCGGTTTTTATCAGTTGCGTAGAAGATGTGCCCACCTGTCACATAAGCGGGCTCCTTATCGCTCTTCGCAAAGGAACTTGTGCGATGTAGCCCGATTTGAAAGGAGAATTCCTGCTTATAGCCTTTGCACGAGAACTGTCGAAAAGGTTACGAACAAGCTCATTGTTTTACCAAAACGGCGAACGATAGGAAACTGCCTGAGCTCGGCTGAAACTGTATCTCGATGACAGCAGGAGTAAAATACTTTGAAAAATGTAGTTGCATAGCTGTTTGAAGCGAAATAGCTGGAATTTAAAAATTGAATCGAACTTGAACAATCTAACAACTCAGAAAACAGGTCGCTAGTTACTGTTTTCTACTTCACCTTTCGATCGGGAGCTGCTCGAGGTGGACCTTGGGTCAGATTTGTTTTCCAGGGTTCACAACCCGTTAGGTATTCGTACCCAATGCCAAGGATAAAGGGCCGTTTTCTGTTCCAATACTTCTGCTTTTTCAGAATCAATATTGACAATTCCTGATGAGTTCCGAGACCTCTTTAATGAAATCTCTATCAAAGGATCTGACTGGTGACTGGATGATTGTTCTCGTTTGTCAGAACTCGCATAGGAAAATGAAAAGACGGTTTGCTTCGAGAACTAAGACGACTTCCAGAACAGGGTCTTCAGCCCTCGACTCTCCATTTTGAATCATATATGTTATCCAAGTTTAATTTAGGGCTCTTCATCATTATAGAATCGAATATTGCAATATTTGTTATTTTTGTTGCCGTATGTACCTTGTACTGAATTGTGCCTTCCCTATGTCTGTGGGCGGAGCAGTGCAAAATGTATGTACTAATATGAGCGTCACAATGGGGCAAAAAAAGTGATTTTTTCTGATAATCAATTTCCGATTATGCTTACGAGTTCGCTCGAGTATGTAGAAGAAAAATGCTGTGATGGCACTGAACTCAGCTGTGATCAGAATGCTGGATCCTTGAAGGCACAGTTTACGATAATTTTGGGATACCCGTTTTTATTTGAAAAGTGGAAGTATAGGTTGAGAATAGTTCATTGATAGTGAAGAAAGCGAGAGAATCCGCCGATTTCGAGAAAAATATGGCTCCTCAGAGTGGGAAAATAGAGGTTGGACGAGATTGCCATGACGGAAATAACAAGGGGTATTTGGACGAGATATCAGTTATTGCCATTGCACAAAGAGCTGACTACATCTAGCCAGAACTGTACCGAACTGTCATTCACTGTCGCTATGAGTCATGACAAGTTGTTTGAACTCCCTATATGGGCTCCTTTGTAATCTTTGCAGCCTCTACAATGCCGGTGAAACTCGTCCGAGGATACACACGGGCGAATCTTGGAGCCTTTATAACTCCCTAACTGGCCTTGCTACCCTATAGAGGTGTACCCGAATGAGTCTATATCTGGCACTATTAGGTCGGATAACACCAAACGATGTTATTTTCTGGTTTACATAGAACCGTACAATTGTAATAGGAGTTTCTCAAGATCAAATAAGACAGTCATTTTTTTTGGCAAGTTGATATGGCATCCACCACTTCAGTTTGTACACGAGGTTGATTGTGGCGTTCGCTGGGTTCGAATGACTCATCTTTTTCGTAGCTTTGCATGAATCTTTAGTATCAGCCCGTAGCCAAGGCGGCGTCACAACTCGTGGCAGATGTTGGTTGTAAACGAGCGTTGCACCTACCGGACTTTGAAAAATCGACATTACTCCTACCAGTTGTACCGAGTTGTGCCGTAAGTTTACGCCAACTCTGAACTGAGCAGTTGTAGAATGCGTTTTTGAGAATATCGCCATTTCGTAGGAGGTCTCACTGCCTCGTTGCCTTTTACTAGCGCCATCCATTCCCCCGATGCCTGACTTTTCCTTAGCCGTACCCTCAGGTCCCTCAGGTTTGTGAACGTACTTGACGGTTGGTCCCGATGCCTCGTTATCACTCATTTTGTGTTGCAGTTACAATCGGACAGCGGATCAAATAAGTACTCTAAGAGAGATCTTTTTGAGTCTTGAAACGTAATACTTTCAAGTGACTTTCGTCTTGTAGGTTTTTGAATTTTTCGCTAAGTCTAAAAGTAAAAGGACTGATTTTCTTGTTTTAAGCACCATCTCGCGTAATCTCTGTCGTAGGAAGAACTGCACTAAATACCCACCAAAGTTTTTTTAGTGGAAGTGTGCGGCGCCGAAATTCTTATCAGTCCCGAATGAAGCACATCGTAAGCTATTCCAGAGTGACGGCTCATTTATCAGCGATCATTGGCTGCCAAGTATGGGCGAAACTAACATAGACGCCTGATAAATAGGGAAGCTAATGTTGGGAGATTACGATAAATGCAATTTGACAGCCTACTGAACGGAAGAATCTCTTTGGGAGTAGTTTATATACTTGACATGAACAAAAGGTATCAAAATTTCGCCATGCCCACTGAATGCAGGTGTCTCTGTCCTACTTATTGGATGGGTGCAAGATCTTGCCGATGGTGGGATGTTTCTCCCGGGGAGGCGGAAACGAGTCTGGCCAGCAATCATGAATGGGAAGTTTTACAATATCCCACGTCCGACTCTCGATTAATCTCGGCATAATGAACTTCGTCGTTGTTTGTATTGTTAGCCCTCCGAGATTTTAATAACAGTTTATCAACACGGCTTACGTTTCGGCAATATCGCCTTCGTCGGAGCCTGTAAGTCGAAACTATATTTGTGATTCGTAAGCCACCATTTCAAATTACAAGAAGAGAACTCTAAGGGAAAGTAAAGCGGAAGCGATGAGATGACCTGTAACCGGCTGGAGCTGTTTGTCTGCACCCTGAGCCCGAAGTTCCTCACGGAGCTTTTATATGTGCTGGGACTCAGAGGTCGGGTCAGGGATTGCTCCAGGGGACCCCCCAAGATGTAAACAACTAAATAAGGTCATACGAGGTCAGGTGCCTGCCGGAACTTTTAGGTTTGTGAGTTGGTCTTCATCTAGTGCGTTTCATGGGATGCTTCCAAGGCGATGGCCGACTGTTCTCGAATTTAAGACAACAGATTCCTCCGGAAAAAATCGAGCAGGCCTGGGATTTTCTTTCGGAGCTCTTCACAACGTTTTGCTTGATTGATATAGGGTGCTTGTGTTTAAGACACTGAGCCTCTTCAGACTGATCCGCTTCCGAACGACACATTTTCTGCCACAGTCAGGAAGCAAGATGGTGCTGTCTGTTGCGCGACTGCTTCGATTCGACCGAATTAGTGGCGGTGAATGCAGAGCAAAAGAGGAAACTGCTTTTTTTCTGATGGTGCTCAAGGAACCTAGAGATGTGAAATATAAAGTATTTTTTGAGAGAAAAAGATGTGCATAATGGAACAGTATAGTCAGGAAAGACAAAAACTGCCGGGACAACGGAAAACAAAACTGGTCCTCCGTTGGTGACTACCTTCTGTTCGCCATAAAACTCCAAGTTTTCTTTGGAAGAAATTCCGAGGCCACGCTGTGTTTTTTTTTCATTTTTCCTTTTCTATCTTTCTTCACATGAGCACCTGCAGTAGGGATGGAGTACATAGAGAGGGGAGAGGAAACAATGAACAATGAGGACAAAAGCATGAACAATGCTGATCATTCATTCTTTATGACTTTCGCTTGCAAACAACAAAGCTGAACCGCACTGTTCCTAGTCTTCAGTCATCACAAGCAAGTAGAAGTTCCGTAGCAGTAGCCATGACCCTTCGATTTTAAGCAGATGACTATTCAAAGAAAAACGTCCATTCGATGTGACGGCGAAGGAGGAAGATAGATAGAAGGAATGATTCTTACCACTGAAAATACCATAAGTCAATTACAGTCATTTCCCACCTTACTCACATCCGACAACCAGGAAGTTAATGTAAAGCTAACAAAGACATCGCCGTAGTAAGTACCTCAACAAGGGTCGCCATAACTGATCTTTCCTACCAATGCCGCTGTCTAGTTTTCATCGCAATTTGAAAAGATTTAGTGTTGTTGAACACCTGTATCAGATTGTTGCCAACTGCTTTTCTCTTTTGTTAAAAACATCAGTGGTTGGTTCAAGGCAACCTATGGATAGTACGATGTTCAGAGCTTCTCAATAATAGGGGTTTTAAACGAAGAGAGGGAAGCTTCCAATGGTGAAGCTCTTAAATGAAATAATTTGGAGAGAAATAATAATGTTCACTCAATTGACACAGTATTCATCCAAAACTAACTGCTTTCTCTTTTTCTTCTGCGATCACTTGTTACACAAATCCGGGCCCAAAAGGTATGAGATCCTAGTAGAAATTTTGGTAGTAACTTGCAACCAAGGCCATTATTTGCTCCTGTCAAGAGGTCAACAAACATCGGCAACATGTGCTCATCCAGTTGGACAGTCCAATTAAACGCTGAGACATCTTCCCGCGAGGAGCTATTTCGTGCTGGAGGGGAGATGGGCAGTAGGAACGGTTTTGTGAAATCGAACCGCCGCACGCAGTTGTCGCGGACTATTTGCATCATTGTACCAGTTCCAGCGTTTTTCGCACAGCTCATTCGCTATGCAGTTAATACTTTTGCCATAATTCTACTGTTAGTTCTTTTGTTGTTGTATTTCTTACTTGCTGCTGCACTCCGCTACATTCCTTCGCGCGCGATCGTTCCTACTGCACCACAACCCTCTTGATGGTTGATTACGTCGGGGAGGTAATATAGTTGACATGAAGGCCTCAAAAAACACCATTTCCAAAATTACAAGCTGAATCAGCTATTATCAAATTGATAGATATTCAGAGCCTTTTCGAGATGGACAATGTAGGCCCTTCGAGGGACGGAAGTATTGATAAGAAGAGACAAAAGATCACATAACTATAGGTATAGACGTCCATTAATGAAGACGACAAAGAAAAGCCTGAAGGCGAAGTCTTGGTGTGAATCACGATTGAACGTCATGGGATGACTAAAACTCAGGTAGGAATGCTCAGTTACATTTGTGGTCTATTTACATGGATTACATATTTGGCTCTGCCTGACAAGCTCCTAGTAGACGATCAAGGTGGGCACCTACGAACATGAAAAAGGCTTCGGTTATGGGATAAGGAAAAGCAACCCTGCCCAATCACTGGGAAGCCAGTTCGTCTAAATCTGAGTAGTTTTGAAGGGTTCGATGTACGTGGAAGACTGTCGTACAAGGACGACGAAACATCGGATCAACAGGAGTAAGTACTGCGTGCAACGCCCTGCGACAACCCTTGTCTGTTGTATTGACCAACAAAGGGACTAATAAAATCTGGTGAATCGGGGTAGTCAGTTTCAACTGCCAATTTTACCGTATTCCCTAGACATTTACCTGTTCTTTGAAGTACCACTTAAACTCTTTATTATTCAAAACTCCGAAATATGGCTCACAGAAAATTCGGGCAAAAGTCATGAGAAGTCATTCTCTGGGAAAATCCAGAGAGTTCGATAAAACCCCCACAGAGTCGCATTTGGGTGAAAATATCGTGAGAGTTCAAGGTAATGCTGTACCCTACGTCTATAGATTGAAAGGTTCTGCTGAGTAGGATTAGCAACTAGGTCTGTCTGGTGGGAGTCCCAAACCTTCAAATTGGCGGTGTTCCTTAGGTGGTGAGTCGCTATGAGGCAAACCGTGCATCGTCCTGAGATCGCCCTAGCCCACAGCTCGCGCTTTAAGATGAGCTGCTTTTGCTTTTATTTCAGCTCTTTTTCTTTTCAAAACTCGTCTAAACGACCCACAATCTTTTGAAAATTTAAAGTTTCTAACACTTCTGAAAACCAATGGAAGTCACCATGAAGGTTACATCTCTGTCTGCTCGAAAGAGTGATCGTGCCAAAGTAATGTTTTATGAAAATGAGAATGCTATAAGTAATATGGATTGCATTTGCTTTAGTAAAGGTAAGTATTGTTAGTACACACCTTGCAAATCTTCCCCCTCCCTCTTTACGTGACAATTCCTCCCGAAAAACGGCGTCTCCATCAGTTTGCAGGAGCCTCCAGGCGATTCGTGACAATTTCTCGCCCACTTTTGTAACAGGCTAAAAAGTTACCGGTTAAGGCGTCACACCGAAGCATCGTTTCTTTTGATGGGTTATTGTACAGTAACATCTAGATAGCATAACTTTATTGAAATCTAAACGGCGAATTAAGACATTAACCAGGGCAGTCGGACTAGTGGGAAGATGTGGCTGAAACACGGAAACGCGGACCAGGAAGCGATACTAGTTGTTGTAAATCAACTAGTATAGCGAATTCCGACTCCTCGCACAGCAGAGGATTGCCAGAATATCCACGATATTGGAGGTTCCTCCTCATGGCAGGATACAAGTGCGGCGGTGCTGATGTGATGATGGATGATAGTTGGTGCAGGGGTGCTGTGCGGTGCAGTCGCATTCGCAAAAACAACAAAAAGCCGAAACGATACGAACTCTTGGCAGTAACAGAGGTGTTTTGGCGTCAATTTTTTATACAACAACTAAAAAAGCTACACGGAAGCAAGGGTATGTGTGTTTGTGTGTGTTTCGATATGTGGACGAAAACAGAATGTAATAACACTATGGAAGCGTTAAACATTGAGCAGAGTACGGCATTTATGGCGAAGAGGCACTGAATATGAGCGATCAGTACGCAGCCGAACGTTGAATGAGTGAGGCGCGCTCCTGAAACAGTGGTATTGAGTCTCAGATTACACTAGGTTGGCTACCATAGTTCGGTTTGGTTGTGACTTTAGGTTTTACAGGTAAAAGGTCTCAAAGCGCTGAACAATCGTTCGAGAACTCGATGAGTTTTATCTCTACGTACAACTCCTGAAAGTATAACTACATCCACCCATTTAGGGGCAATATTCATTTTAACGTGAATTTCATGAAATAGGAGCGATAAACGCGTGCGTGGCCACTGAGCTGACTAAGACACCCAACTAATGGTAAGCCATTCGCCTGCTGAGACAACTAGATAAGAATCGATGGGTAGCTAGTATAACGCCTCACACCCAGCACACAATTGCCTGCTATCAGGGGAGCGGTTATGCGGTTTTCTGTAATAGCTGATGTTTAGATGTTTACAATACATTTCAGAATAGAACTGGGCGCTTCAAATAAAACTTTTTTTAAGGTGAAAATTTGAGGCCACGAGAGCGATAGCGAATTAGCTGTTGGATGTCGTAATTGCAAAACAGTTATTCTCCTAGTTAGACTTTAAAGAGCAGAATTTCAGGAAGCTGATGACATGGGAAAACCATATACTTGCTCTACCCATTGTACACTTTCCTATTACTACTTTCCCGGTCAAAGGTAAATTCACACCTGATTCTCCTCATTGTAGAGGTATGTGCGCACATCACCACCGGTAGCGAAAGCGTCCTCGGCTTCGAATACCAGTGAATGGGGTGGCGCATGAATTCCTCTGCCGCGAGCATAAACCTACAATATGGTTTTTAGAGTTGGTCGAGGGCCAAGGAGAACTTTCAGTTACTCACCGTTACTTTCGATTTCGGTGTCAACCTGAAATCTTTCGGGAAGGTAAAGGTTATATCACGACCAGATCCCGAACTGCGGAGCTTCCAGTCCCCGATCACTTCGTCATGTGATACTGAGGTATTCTCAATGGTGACGAATGATCCATCAGATGCCACTTCCTGAAATCGTCCGGTTTATAGAGACTGAGAAATCTGTCGGCTATCGAGCAGGTCTTTCATGATTTGGAACTCTCTACACGCCTTTCAAAAAGTCAACCGTCTGTGGGTACCCACCAAAATGGAAACATTTCCTTGGGCGGATCGTTGGGTGTCGGAACGATTTGTACCAGTAACACGACGCATTGCACTCGAACGAACATGCACGTCTGAAAGAGCTGTACCGGCGATTAACTCTGTCGTTCAACATTCTCGCTTGACGTTTACAGCTTTACAAGAGTATAAACTTACTGGTCTGTGTTGTAGGTTCAAAGGAGTGACTAGCCGAAGAAATAATTCGCCCATGTGTTCTGTTCTCTTCTCCTTCCAATAACTGACGGTACTTGCTAATCTCGGCATCGAGATTCTAAAATTATCAAAATTTATGCTAAATATCTGCAAAATAAATCGAAGACTCTCAGAAAAAGAGCAATATGGTAAAATTACTTACAACTTTTTCAACAATAAGCTTCTCAAGTTCAACGGTAATGGCTTGGCACTGAGCTCGTACGGCTCGGATCTCATCGTCTTTCTCGCTCAGGTGGGCCATCGACACGCGGTTTTCATCCTCGATTTGATAGGTGAGGTCTTGGATGAGCTTCTCGAGAATGTGGTTCTGAATGATAATATACGATAATAGCACAAAACTGTTAGCAATATATTTTTGAGGGGGAATCAATATATTGATTTTTATAAATGACCCGTTTTCCATATAATTAGACAAACGCATTTGGAGTGAGTTCCAAATTCGATTTCTAGAAGGGCGAGATTTTTATCGGGAACTGTTGAATATACTTACGCGTCCTTCCAAGTTGGCCAGCTTGCTGCGCATTTCGGTCAGCTCAGCACGAAGCGTTTTCACCTTCTCCTAAAAAAAACTAGTAAGTAAGCGCTTAAGCGCTTTACTTGTGATGAATTCTCCAACCTACCTTGATGGTTGCTGCATCGGCTGCATGACGGCTACCAGTACGAATCTCAATAACCTGCTTACTGTACCACGACTCCATTTCGCTTCGGAATTTCGATGTGGCCTTAAAAAACAAATGTTGTTTTGGTAAACAGAAAAGGAAGCCTCTGACGAAGCAGTAGCTTGAGGCGATTCGCCTACTTCGTCGTAGAGCTTGCGGATTTCAGCGATGGCTTCCAGCAGTCCCTGTCTGAAGATGGCACGATTCTCTTCAGTTGTGTCCTGGTACTTGTACTTGTCGAGTTTCTAAACAGTATTGTACTTTGAAACCAGAACTACTTTACAAGAGTCATTTTACAAGTATCACGTACAACATTGTTACTGCTGGCGATCATCTTACACTCCTCGATAAGAGCTTGAGCTTGGTGTTCATAGTTCATACGCTGGAGTGATTCCTTCTCGAGGAGCTGTAAATAGATAACTTTCAGGTAAGGATAACTTCCAGCAGTTACTAGTAAATTGTTAAGGTATCGTAGCCATTGGCAGTATTTCAAGTCAGGTTAATTACGAATTTTACAAGTTTTACCTGGCGCTGAGAGGCAAGGTCGGAGTTCAGCTTCAGATTTTCGTTGCGAATACGTTTGCATTCCTCCTCGATGACAGCATTACGTCTCTTTGTCATGCAAATCTGAAGAGGTTTATTGATCGGTAAACCCAATCGATTTTGATCTATCTTTTAGATATTGCCATGATCTTCGTTCAATATAAGAAGGGAAATTACATACATATATATTCAATTATACCTGAGCCTGAAGATCACACAGCTTCACAATCAGATCGTCTTCCTCTCCCAAATTACGTGCCTTCACGGCAGCATCAAATCTAAAAGCGCATTACGGTAAAACAAGGTGAAAAATTCCAAAATAATCTGGAAAAATAGCCCAGAATGATATTAACGAGTAAAATATACAGGTTAACTCAAATAATGATCATCCCCTTTTTCCTCTCCCGAATGTTATTCTTCCCACCCACCTCAATGGCCCTCCGTATTTACACTTGTTTTTTCCCTCAGTATGAATTTTTATGGTTGGATCTCATGTGCTCACCTGGATCGGACATCGGTGAGGTCAGCTGTTAGGCCACGCACTTCTTTTTCCAGATTACCGTAATCCTTCTTTGCTTCGGCGATGATGGATTGGGATTGCTGAAAGTTGATCATTATATTCTTCAGATTTATAATGCTTCATCGCTCTGCATTATATTTTTATAAGTCTTATTTCTATTTACAGTATAATCCGATATCTACTAGTATATAGTCGAGTAGGCGTTTCTTTCACATCCTATTCGCGTAATTATGTGATTGCTCGATTATTTGATTGGTCGGATGCGTGTGCGCCTAAGCCGCGATTGGTTAATTTTCCACAATTTTTGTAAAGCAATCCATTGTTACCAACATGCATGCTACAGTTCGTTTTTTGCTCCGCTGAGGCGAATGGCATGCTTGAGAGGTCCTCCACCCTTTTTTATTTTTACCTAGCTGGTCTAGATAGTAAACAATACATATTTACTTAACTTCATATTCTGGTCCACAGCGTTAACACTTAATTGCCTAATTGTGTTCAAACTAAGACGATCAGAGAATTGAAAGCTGATTTTCTTACCGAAATTTCCTTTTCGTACATCTGGCGGATCCCTGGTGCGTGTTTGCCTTTCGTCAGTCTTTCTAGATCATGGCTAAGCTTGCGATTCTGGGCTTCAAGGAATCGAACCTAAAGACACTTACTTCTCATGTCGATTGCCACTCATGATTGAGATTTTTAAAATAAAATGTACCTGCTCAATGTATGCTGCCAATCTATCGTTGAGACCTCGCATTTCCCGCTTCTCCCTTTCACGAATGTCACGGATTTCTCCAGCGGTCACGCTGCTTCCAGCTAAAACTCGTCCGATTTGTCGTTAGAGCTTTCATATATATGAAAACATGGCAAACATTTGTAAAAACTGAAACAAAAACTCACACATGAATTCAGTAGCTCCGGTGTGAGCCATTCTGAAATTACAGCAATTACAAATACCTTTTGGAGTAATAGAAAAGTATGAATAAAAAGGTGAATACAGGATAATTTGTGATCTGCTCTGATATAACTGTACCTCTACTTTAGTGGGATTTGTAAAAAGTTTTGCTCAAGGGCTCCACAGAAAGGCGAAAATATGAGACGGGGCTATGAACTTTTTCGGAAAAAGTCGTCATCTCAAAGGATTAGCAAACATAAAATGGTAGTAGTGAAGAAAAGAAACGTCTGAAAGTGGAGCCCATGTTATCGGAGAGCAAACACGACGGAGATAGCTGGCATTCTTCCCGAATCGACACGATAGCAACGTGATGTCTTCGTTTGGGTGTGGAGCCAGCCAGCCCACAGACATCATCGGATTCAGCCCGAGTGCATAGCTTTTTATAACAATATTGGTGGCAGCGTTGGTCGACATCGACAAAATCGGAAACTATCAATGAATATCGGGGATTCTGATGTGTACGAGTACGTGATTGATTCAGTCGGCTGTGTCGAGGACCCGTCGGCGACGGACGTTTCATGAAATGTCAATCACAACCGTCGACGGCCATACAATCGTGGCCCACCGCAGTACAAACCACCGTGGAGTAAATGCTATTCTTATGCAAATCAACCTGGTATGAACTGGTATTCGCGAATTCGTTGATCCGATCAGCACGCAAAAATCTCTGGGTCTCGTTGCACAAGTACAAAGGGTCATAGAGTTCCCCTAGATCGAGGGTTATAAATGAAATTTCACGGCCAGAAACGAGGGCCAACGACCTCGTATGCACTTTTGACCGAGTTTGAGGATATCAAGTTCAACATGCATCGGCATAGCTGTTTGGTCAACTTCCTCCCCTTCCACCCCTCCTATGAAGTTATTAGCCTCAAAGCTTCAGAAGTTCGAACCTATCCGGCTAGGTGGTGGGTTCTACCGTCTGAATTTATTTTTTGATGGTTTGCCTACAGCGTATGTTATAACTGGAGGAAGCAAAAAAGCGGCCTAAAATCCGTTCTCCTAAAAAAATAACGGATTTTATGAAAAATCCGGGCAGACAATCATGATAGGCTTACATATGACAGGTCCACTGGATTATTCAATGACACTTCGAAAAAAAAAACTTCAGTGAGGAAAGTATTTAGGAGGAACGTATCATTGATATCGACTGGTACTACTTTTTTGGGATGACTGAGTCAGGTACGTAGTGATGATTTCTATCATGAACGATTCCCCTATTGGATTTCGACGATACGGTCAACGTGGGACACAGAAGGAACGCTTTTTATGGAGACGTTGTTGCTCCATTACAAGTACTCATCGCCAATAAAGTAGTGTTGGTATGTCCCCATAGCCATATCACAAAGAGGTATGATGATAGATTTCCTTTGGAAAAAGGCTGCGCTACCACAATCCTGTTTCAAAGTACCCAGTTCCTACTATGCAACTAATCAGCACTGACACCACTGTTTAAACACTTGATAAGGGTCAGCTACTATGCAGTTAGCCCCAGAGCTGGACCATGATTTCAATTTCTTGGATGTACCATTTTGGGATCGACAATACAAGTAATTTACAAAGTTGAATGGGACAGATACCAGCGTTTACCCCACGGGTGTGGTGCAGTAGGAACGAAATTGTCGCGTCGCGGCAAGAGGGACATCGCGCGAACGTAGCAGAATGCAGCAGCAGGTAAGAAATACAGGAACGAAAGAACTAACGGTAGAATTATGACTAAAATATGGTCGCATATGGAATCGACTACACAAAACCGTTCCTACTGCCCGTCTTCCTATACAATAATCACAGTATAATGTATTCTGTAATAAGAAACTCACCCGCCCAATGGTTGGGTACGAGCGCCGATGCCGCCAGATTTCCTGAAACAGTCGCATCATCATAATAATAATAACTGTAATAATTAATTGTGTCAATTAGGAGGTATTACCTTGAATAGTGTTGGTGCTCTTCTTGGTAAATGGATGGCATCTCCTAAATAAAAATATTGATTTATCTTTTAACCATACCACAATACGACTTCAGAAACCCTGATGAGATAGTAGGTATATCAGAGAAATGCGTCATACCGTGAAGGCTGCGGAGAGGTTTATTTGATTGTGTCATTTTTATCAGTAAGTTTGCGCTTTATACGTGGCAAATATCGAGAGATGTTATCAGAAAACTGGGCTGTTGTCGGGCTTGTGGGCAGTGTTAACGGGGAAAACGGGGAAAACCACGACGACGATAAAAGCTGATTGAGGATGGTACACCGTGGCCAGCGCCATGGCCATCAATTAATAGGCACGAAACTATAAAACAAACAGTTACAGTTAACAGCCTTTTGACTTGTGACTGATGAAGTAGTAGACGCACAGTTGATAGATGTGAGAGGGAATATCCCAGCAAAAGCTGGGCAAATACAGCACCTGTCTGATGGTTTGGTGGGGTTCGGAAAAACAAAAACGGATAGATGCCAGCCGTACAATCTGTGCTGTGCTGCAGTAAGCGTCCTGCAGAACGGAGGGGCACGTAACAGAGGAGATGACACAACTGTGCTGCTGTCCCATCCAATGTTCCTCCATACTCGACTAAATATACTCGACAAGGGTGTTCGCAATTTCAATAATCGACTTTTGGAAGAGGAATATACCAGTAAAAACTAGCTGCAAAATGAGGCTGATTATGCAAAGAATTCACCCCGAACAGGGGCAGAAACGGCAACCGACCGTTCGTTGCAGATAGTCGTTGGTTCGTAAAATCGAAATATATTTTTCCCCTCCACCACTCTCTTATTTTGGAAAAATTAGATTCGAACAAAGTTACGGTAAAAAGGGGAATCGGGCCGAGTTACCGTTTTCATTATGCCTTTCTTCAATATTTTATGTGGGCATTACGGGTGTGGTGCAGTAGGAACGAAATTGTCGCGTCGCGGCGAGAGAGACGCCGCCCGAAAGAATGCGGCGTAACCAGCAGTAGAATCGTGCCTAAAATAATGATCGCATAACGACTGAGCTGTATGAAGAACGATAGAGCTGTAATAACGGCGAACGAATGGTCCGCGACAACCGCGTGCGACGAATCGATTGCACAAGACCGTTCCTACTGCCCGTCTCCCGGGCATTACCACTTGGGCTTTTGATATTCTCAGATCAGCCACAAGTATGCCTAGCCACAAGTAACCTACTCTGAAGGGAACGGATCCGGACAACTCGGACGATAACTGACGCTCAAGCAGTGTCTTACTATACTAGTACTCTACCTTGGTCTACCCATAACCACAGGAGTAAGAGAATCAATCTTACAGCTGGTACTGTGGGCATTTTATGTCAGTGCACTGCTTCCTTACTCCTGAATCAGTTAACCCAGATGCTGATAACACAGGAAGGACACGATTGGTCTTAGCGTCAATTATTCGATGAACCGGTGGCAGTTTTCTAATGTAAACATAACTTTTGTCTTTGCACGACGTATTGCTGGGCGTGAGAACAAGTAAAATTAATTAATAATAAAATAAATGATTGCGAGTCGTACTTAGAAAATTACTCTGAATAAGCAAAGTAACGGGGCATTCCTAAACTTTCGCGGGCAGTCCTAGACCATTTGTAGGGTTGGCTCGAGCGCCCACGAAGAAAAAAAACTGTTAATCTCACTGAGAATGATTCTACATCTCAGTAATTACTGAAATTTCGATAGGTATTTACAACTTCTTACAACGCACTTTTTTACTATTTGGCTGCTTCACTGCTTCAATCGTTCAAGAGTTACTGGAACAATACAGATAATATGTTTACTGTAAGTTAAACACTAGGAAGCAAATGCAAGAAAAGACGTCGTGTAAGTGCTACTGTGGTTGTACTCTTGAGTCGATTGGCAGGTACAATATCATTTGCACTCATTGTTTCAAAAAAATAGATAATAAGATTCCGATTAATCAAAAGGTTATGGTTCACTACTGCTATGAATTACTGATAAGATTCAGCCCCAATTTCCTGTGATTATCAGAAATTCTGCAATATATATCTAAAAGATGAAGGATAGAGAGAGACCTTGATGTCAATTATTTCTCTTTTTCGATGCGCTGCCGTATTCGACTACCAGACAGAATCTTAGTAGCATTATAAGTGTTCATGTGGTCTACACACAAAATTGCGGTGGCCAGCTGATGTATAAGACAGCATTTACCCTCCCAGACGAGTCTGACACCAAGTGATCAACCCCGGAAGAATGAAAAGCTTGGTTGGACAGGGCGAGTACCATTCCGAGATTCGGCCCCCGAACGATCCGTGGCTACAGTACATCCGCCCCGACATGCGGAAGCGGCCACGTGAAGCTCCGTAAAAGAGATGGAGGGACGTAATCAAAAAGTACCCCTTTGAAAGTGAAAAGTAACAGCAGAAGAAACTGTAGATACTAGAAGAAGTGGCGAAACTCTCGAGTACAGCACCCTTCTACTGAACGGGATTAACGCTGGGGAGAAGTGTATGTTCAGATGCATAATTGGTACTTCCTGAGTACGGATAACTTAGATCTTCATTAATCAAGCTCTGTACCATCAAAGTTAACAATATGGCCATGCTTATAGTGTACAGCAACCAGCGTAGACCTAGGCAGTCCACTCTAGGATCAATAGTTAGAGCCTGGTTCCCTAGGATTCATCATTTCGTTCCCATAACATCTCTTATGATTTCACAAAATGGCAATATTTCCGATGAAGTCTGCTTTCATAGTAGGACATAGTAATCAAAAGTCTTCTAGGGGTGATAGGGCTTATCTATATGGTTTTCGATCTTCCTACTTTTTTAAGTATAGATATTCATGGTCAGCAAAAATTTCGACACTATTATTTACAAAGAAAGTATCAAAAAATGCTTGAAACCCTCCGGAAGCTCCAGTAATATGAGGGCTCACTTCACAGCCTGTCTTTCCCAACGTTTAAGCTGTAGGCTGTTCGCGAAAATAAGGGACAGCATGACCACAGCCTTGTAAACAATACAAGAAAGGAAATATCAAGATCTGTGCAGGACCTACCGTTCTTTCAGCTGGTTTTGTTGTTGTCGTTGTCGTCTCCTCAGTTTCCTTCTTTCTTTCGTAATCATAGAGCTCGGATCTCCTTGTCTCGCGATATTCCCTCGATGACTCTTCTCTTTCCCTTCTCTCTCGTTCTCTTCTCTCTTGCTCCCGTTTTTCCTGTTCTCTCCTTTCTTGTTCCCTTCTCTCTTGTTCTCTTCTCTCCTGTTCTCTTCGCTCTTGTTCCCGTCTCTCTTGATCCCTTCGCTCTTGTTCTCTTCTCTCCTGGTCTCTTCTTTCTTGTTCTCTTCTCTCCTGGTCTCTTCTTTCTTGTTCCCTTCTCTCCTGATCTCTTCGTTCCTGTTCCCTTCGCTCTTGTTCTCTTCTCTCTTGTTCTCGTCTCTCTTGGTCTTTCTTCTCCTGTTCCTCCCTCTCCTTCCGCCTCACTTCACGTTTTCTTTTTTCCTCGAGCAGCTCTTCTCTAGCGATCTCCAGAGTGCTCTTTTCGACACGTGGTGGAGTGGGTGAACGTCCTTTCGGTATAGCCACACGTGGGAAGTTGCGTACAATTTCCGTGGTGACCGTTTCCGATCTGGACGTATCCTCT